GCCCCCCTGACAGATATTAATCTTGATGCCAGTTAAAACCTAAATATATCTGATCTTTTTTTATTCCTAAAAGAAAAAGAGTTAGAAAAAAATATATTTATTCCCTTTTGGTCCACTGACACAAAAAATGACAGATTAGAAATGTAAGTGTCCCTATGTGGTGAGATTTGTAAGCTCCCAATCTTAAATATATTGAATTTGGTTTATTTCCCAGAAGGCTCATTAAGTAAAAACTGTAGGAAATGTTAGGATTATTCTTTATTAGTAATGCACTTGTTATATTACCTATTTGTTAAGCAGAGTAGAAAGACTACGTAGTCTCCCTTCACATAGTGTAACACTGTTTGATTACAGAAGCTTAATAAGGACAGTTCTGTCAGAACAATAAGTAAGCCTAATTGTATATTCCAGGCTGGATTGATAAAGAAGAGCATGTCTGAGGCCAAGATGCAGCCTCAGACATGGGGTCAATGGAGTCCCAGGTGGAGCTATGTGGGTTGAAACACTGGGCCAGAAGGGTATACAGGACCACAATATGCTAAGTTGAAAAAAGAAAAAAAAAAAACAGGTTCTATGGGGCAGGCTGACCACTACCTCAATCCATGGTTCAAATACAAAAATAAATCCCCTTTTACTCACGTAAAGAACTAAAACAGGTGGGTCCAAATCAAACATGTTACATTTCCAACATTTTGTATCCAAAACAGTTACAATTAGAGATAGGTTATTCCCAGGTGAACACTTGACTAGTCTTAGTGCAGGACGCAGTACACAAACTTATTTTAATACTTGAACCAGTCAGCTTTTCAATACACCACATATTGATCAAATTTGGTGTCAACCATCTCCTGCTTGCTTCAGGTCATGTCACGGAAACAAACATTTAAGAAATGTAGCTATTTTCGTTCTCTGCTGTTGACTGACAACAACCAACTTAGCAACCATACTTGGTGTGTACAGCTAAAGACCAAAGATAAAGAAGCTGATTACATCCTAGACAGTCTTTAGATCCAAAATATCAGGCATTATCTAATGACATGATAAAATATCGCTATTCAATCACCTTTATAACGTAACTGGCCTTTTTCATTAAAGTTTTTAATCATCTTTAGGAGTAATCAATGTCTTCATGCATAAAACAAGATCCTAGATTGGTTGGATAAAAGGAAAAAGCAATAAGTCTTAAGGTAAAGTTATTGGTCTCATATGGACCTGATACAAAATTAGCTCAGGGAGCAGGGGGAAGCTGCGACGATAATTGTGCTGCATCACATTTTTTTAACGATGCTTCCAAAACTTTTACCTCCTAAAAGATAACTACTCTGTAGAAAACTGCAGTTTAACCTTTATTAAATAAAAAGCAGAGAGCTTAGAACAGCATGCAGTACATTTTATGACCTTATGACCAGGCTGACCTTATTGCAGTGGTGGACAGAATACTCAACAGTAGTACTTGAGTATAATAGTAATAGTCAAATCTTACAAGGGTACCAGTAAAAGTTACTCAGTCAAACATTAACTCAAGTTATAATATTGGAGTATCATTGTGTCCTTTGGGAAGACACGTCTGTTAGTGAGCCCCAGGGCAGCTGTGCCTACAATGTAGCTTGCCACCATCAATGTGTGAGTGTGTGTTTCAATTGGTGAATGACTGAATCTCAGAATCAAAAAAAGAAAAGAGGGGTGTCTTGATTCTCCTTACACTTTCACTATGGCATATAGGGTCAAGTTTGAATTTATTTCCACAAAGAAACCACAACTTTGATTTGAGAACTCATCCTACTGAACACCTTAATAAATTCTATAAATAAAATGACTAATAATATATGCCCTGAGTTTCTCACATTTGTGGAATGTCTTGCAAATCTGTAAAACAGTAGTGTCAAATTTCAGTCCTAAGGGCTGCTATCATGTTGAACTTGCATTTCAAGAGCAACAGCAGCTTACAGAGCTAAGCTGAGCCAAAATTAACAAGTAACTAGCATTTTGGCATTTTATAGCCAACATGATTTCCTTGAACAGCTGGAAGTCCAAACTCATGATGACATGAAGTTTAAAAAAATCAATAAATAAGCTTACGAGCTTACCTTTTCTGTCTGCCACTCATTATTTGTTTTTTTTCTTGAGGCCCAAAGAGGATCCTTATTTTACAACAACCCATCAGATTTTTCCCCTCCTGAAGTTATTTTTTTTTTTCAGGAATAACCTGCGATTTCTGTCCCTCGTTTTTTTTTTTTTTTTTTTTTTTGGAGGCTCAGAGTGGTTCACTACTTTACCAGTTTTCTGTCCTCCTTAAACCCTATCATGAATAAATTATTCTTTCTTTAATGTGTTATTCATTGTTTTTGCACAAGTCTGTCCCTGTACTATATACGCAATGTGCCACTCAAAAAAGTGTCTGTTTCCATGCGATTAACATATTTTATTTTGTGTTTTTCGCACAAAGTGCATGTGTTTTATGTTGTAACCGTGTCTCTCTTCGTGCCAGACCCATTAAATTGCTGTGTAGTGTGAATGAAATTGACCTGGGGTCTATCTCAGTCAGACCTATTCAGCCCCCTTGCATAAAATCGTTAGAGGTGTCAAGTAACGAAGTACAAATACTTTGTTACTGTACTTACAGTAGTACACTTTTTAGGTATCTATATTTAGTCCATTACTTATTTTTCTTTCTACTTCTAACTTCTACTCATTACATTTTCACACAAGTATCTGTACTTTCTATTCTTTACATTTTCAAAGCAAACATTACTCGTTACTCTTGTCTTCAGTTTAATGTTAATATTTATTTCATGCCATCCAGTGCAGATCATTGGCACCATCCACATCTAGTGAAAACTAGTGTAATTGGATCAATCATATAACGCAAACACTCATTGGTTAGCTATTCGTCAAATTTGTGCTGACACCAAAGGAAATCAACAGAAGCAAGCAGGTGTTCTTCAAACTGCAAACTTGTCAAATGTCTGAAAGGTCGGAACCAGGCGAGAGCGTATAGGGAGAGGGAGACAGAGACCAACAAGACCTCCCTCATCCTTGACCCTATCTCAAAGAATTTTCCGAAATAGTCGAAGAATTGAGCTTTCAATACATATATATATCTGGCTGTTTTTTTTTTTTTTAAAGGTTACTTTAAGTAGTTTTTGGAGCAGGTACTTTTTCACTTTTACTTCAGTAAAGAGGTCAAGCTGATACTTCAACTTTTACCAGAGTGTTTTTACACTGCAGTACTTATACATAAGTAACAAATATGTGTACTTTTGACACCACTGAAAATCGTGCCGGGTGTGATCATACCCACCAACTTTAAAAGAACGTTTTTTTGGTATAAATCATTTTAATAGCTAAAAACGAATGACACGTGTATAAAAAAACTTTATTTTGCCAATATTTCACAATTTCCAATTCTTTTTAAATATAAAGGCTTTCTGTGCTGCAGCAGATGTCACTGATCGGCAATGAATGAAGCATCAAGTAATGAACCTTTCGGCAAAGCATTGGGTTGGAAGGCTTCATTTCTTCAGGAGGATTCATTTGGCCATCACTAAACCTGGGAATGAGAGCATCAATAACAACAAACAAATCTCACACTGGAGTGATAAGAGTTTACCACACTTCTTAACACTCAGGCAAAGAACTGGCAGCAGGCTTCTTTTAAACAGCACTCCTGATTAGGTAAATGTGAAACACCTGCTGCTGCAACCAGTCACCATGTTTTCACCCGAGAAGAATATGCTGAAGCACAAACAGAAAAAAAAAGAAATCAGGAGACAAACCTCCTAGACCCTGACACTACATGCTCAGATTACGCTAACAACAACAGAAGTTATCAGAAATATACAGACGACACACAGCTAAGAACCCATTTAAGTGCTTGGCAGATGTATGGAAGAAATCAATGCATGGGAGTGCTTAATTTCTCTCCACCAGAATTAAAACAAAAGTTAAGCAATCATTTTCAACCCAAGGAGGAAACATCAAAGGTTTGTTATTCAGTTATTCAGCTAGAAACCATTGATCTGGCCCAAAATCTTGAAGTAGTGATGGACTCAGACCTGAACCTTTAGAGGCACATAAAAACAGTAAAAAAGTATTTATTTGACAACTGCAATGATCTCTTAACTGCCTCACAAGTCAATAAGACAGCATCAGTTGATCTATAATGCTAATGCCACATGCTGACTTGTACTAAGATAATAAATACATTACCTGAGTTCTAAACTCTTTACAATAACTCCCTGCATCCCAGAGAAAATAACTTAAAATAAATAATTTATTTAATTTATGAAACACTAAAATACTTTTTTTTCACCAAAATGTAACTATGCTATTTAAACTGTTGCATGTAGTCCAACAATTCTGGCTCTATTATGTCACCACACCTTTTTCTGTGTTTTATTTCCTTAGGTTTTTCATGCTCACTGCTTTGAACTGTCTTTTTCCTGAAACATGCTATATAAATAAATTTGGATTACATTGCCTTTCACATGCTTCCATTCCTAGGTTTCCACACATCATAATCTTAGTAAACATTAATTACTTTTACCCTCAAGATGGTAAAATCACAGTTTGCTATATCAGTTTCAAGTTTCTTGATACAGACCAGTAAAGCAAAAATGAGGTGCTTCACTAGGCCTTGAAGAAGGGAGGAGATAAAACTTACCTAGAAGCTTTACCCCAAACAATATCCTTGTACTCATCTACCTCCCACCGGCTACAAACACTGTTGGTTTGGGTTTCCGTTGACAGTAAGATGGATTATTTGGGATGTGCTCAATCCTTCATGGAAAGAAGTTAGTATTTTGGTGAGTTAAAAATATCTTGCATAATATCAGATGTCACAAGTGGAAAAGAATATTTTTTTTCTTTCTTATTACTTAGAAACCTATCATTGCTCTGTTTAAAATGAAATGACAATTGTCTTGTTGAATAATGCCCTTTTTATCTACTTGAGGAGCAGCGCTGAGGCCAGCACATACTGTTCAGAATCCTGAGAAGATTCAAGATGATGTTCAAATTAACCTTTTCAACTTTTTTGACTATTTGGTGAGACCATTTATGTTTTTCTGTAATTGTTGTTTTTACCCATTCTATGCAAAAAAAAAAAAAATGAGTTCAGTCAGACTAGCTACATTGTCTTTTTTTAACATTACAACTTCAATTCTTGTCATTTAAACATTTCATTTGGATTTAAATGTGGACTTTTATAGGGCCACTCTAACACATTGGAATTTGCTTCAAAAATTGGTAACCAGTACCAGGTTTATATATTATACATTAAGCAGGGTGATACTTCTTTCCTTCTTTTTTTTTTTTTTATACCTTTTGCATGAAAGTCATTTAATTTAACTTTACTCATTTCATTAGGGCAGTTCTGCAATATGTTTGGTAGTCTCCCTAAATGGTAAACTGTAAACTCGACTTCTTAAAACTCTCTTCAGTAGTGGCTTTTATTTCAAAATTCATTAAGATTTGTAGAAAACTATACATAATAGGTGCCCAATCAATGTTTTCACTTATTAATGTTCTAATGATTCCTTTGGTTGCCCTATCAGTTTAGGCTAACAGCAATATTGCTGTACAGTAGGTTTGCAGTTGTTTTACACAGTGGAATATCTTGAAAGATGGTCTAAGAGTAGAATGCTGAATGATAATCCATAATCTATACTTTCTGACAAACATCAGAGCTGTGCCAACTCTGGGATTGAAAATACATGCAGGTGAACTCTTTTTCATAAATAAATCATTTTTGGAGGCAGTGAGGTACAAAGTTATCAAATTAATAGGGCTTAATATGCTTGCCCTCCCTATGTGATATTGTGCACTATTTGCTGCAAAAAACAATTTTCACACAATTTTATTCGTTTTTGTTTTATAAACACACTTAGATACAACCAAAGAGAAATCAAAAAGCGATTTCCAAAAGATTGTATCATCTATCACTGTTTCTATGTAAAACATTTTTTGTCACCTATAGTACTGTTAACACTGTTCCATCCAAAAACCAGGGTACCAATTAAATACAAGAAAAATGCATAATAATCATATTTCTTTTTTTATCACCCTAAAGCTGGTTTATTTATTACAAGGAATTCAATTTTTTAACATGTTTTTTTGGATTATTGTTATTTTTGTCTTTTATTTTTTGTTGTATTCAAATGAGGGGACATAGTTTTCTCTGTGAAGCAGCTGTATCTGATCGGAGAGACAGAAGGTTGCACCACAACGGAAAATGATTGGGAAGGCATGGGGATTTAAAGTGAGCTTATTCTGTGAGGGTCCGGTGAAGGTTTGGGGACAAACAAAACAATGTTAACATCTTTATAGACTGCTTAAAAGTCTGTATGCTGAGGGGGCTCATATATTTTTTGGACACACAAAAGGAGTCTTTGGATCTGAATTTTTTTTTCCAATTATTTCATCATCAGATTTATCAAAGCTGAATTGGTCTCCATATTTAGAATAGGGCAGGCATATGTTGTAATATAAGCTGAGTAGTAGTAGTAGTTCCAGTACAATATTTCTTGTTTTAAACAAAAATTTGCAAAAAATATTTTTCTGATTTTGTTCACAGGTGGATCCTTTTCCTGATCATCAATGTACAACTGCTCAGAGCCGTAAGAATCTACAGATCAACTACTATATTTCAATCTTTTTAGTCCAACATTTCTAAAAGAACTTTATACATGTAGGCTTTTTGAGAAGAAATAATCAAACATTCATTGCAAAAATAATAATACTAAAAAAAACATTGACTTTTTATGCACATACATTATCTTGGATCTTATTTGTGATAAAGTACTGCATATTTATTTTTCCAAAAGACAGTTTTAGATTACATGTTTTTCTATCAAACTTGTGGTTTTTGATCCAGTAAGGCGAAAAAACAATGTTAGTTCTTGAGGTAACATAAACTTCCCCTAAATATTTAGAAAACTTGTTGTGGGAATGTTGTGGGAACCAGACTTTCAGCCTGTGAAAAACTTCCACAAAACACACACATCTGGATGTTTAATGGGAATATTGTTGAATCTGGGGAAATAAAAAGCAAACCCACAGCAAGGTCAGAGGGCTCTTATGTAACCAGTTTAGTCTGGGAACACTGTAATACTTGAAGGTTATCTGTATTGTTTCCAGTCCAGGTGGTAAACAGGTCGGTTAACAAAAATCACTGGAACTTTCCATACTTGTGTGTTCCAGCTTACTTGTTACTGTCTGTGTTTTTGTTCTTAAGGGGAAAAATAATGTACTGTGCCGAGGCAGACACTGCTCTGTGTGTCCTCCAGTCAAAGATACACGGGTAAGAAACATGGTTATAGTGTTTCGCCACTAAGAAATAAAAAACACATTTTTCTCTTTTTCTTTGTTTTGATATATTATCAACATAATGCTTAAATCAATGTATTAAATATTTATTTATTTTTTGTAGGGACCACCAGGCAAACCTGGAAAGCACCGTCTACAAAATTCAATAGGACCGAGAGCACGAAAAGAACTTCCTGAGGAAATAGAAAGGATCGAAGCAAAAGAGTCAAAGGTCCAAGAAAGGAAGAAAGGAGGCTGCGTTAGTGTTCATTTCAATGCTTTATACTTTAGTTGCTATAGATAGAGGCCTTAAAATAAATAGTGATTGTTGTGAGACCTAACACTGTAATTTTATGTAAATAAAGAAACAAATCTGTCAGTTGTGTAATTTTATGATCTTATTTGAAATTATTCATTTGTTTGTCTCAGGGTTTTACTGGTGAGCCTGGTGTTGTGGGTCGTGATGGATTCCCAGTGAGTTTTTGTATATATGAAGTTACAAACACCAAAGATGAGTATCTCTGTCTTAAAGATTATTGCAGTGTTTTCCAGTGCATGTTTTACAAATCCAAGGTTTAAGAAGCTCATTTTAAGAAAAGTCTTATAAAATATACATAGATTTAATATAAGCCAAAATATAGACTCATTTTGTGTCCATGTATACCATAAAACGATCAAATAAAAAATGTGGTAGTGCTTCCATTTAGTGCCAGGAAGGACTTTGATGTCATCTCTAATGATTTGTAAATCAACATTACTTGCTCCTCAGGGTCATCCTGGGGGAGGGGCTGAGTCTGGTTCACCAGGACTTGATGGCTGCAATGGAACAAGGGGCCAACCAGGACAGGCTGGTTTGCTTGGATTGAAAGGCCTTCATGGGCCCCCAGTAAGTAAATCTCCTTCATTTTGTCATGGTATTTGTGAGTTCAGTTCCAAACACATTTAAATCTATCTTGTACAGTTCCAGGATAAATTATGAAAGCAAGAGTGACCTAGAACAGAATTGAACCAATATACGCATCACAGTAAAGGAGTGGACAGATGTAGCTGCTGTTATATCATCTGTTTTGTCAGAATCCACAATTTCCTCTTCGAAAGAAGATGGCATCTGCTGCTTTTTCATTTGTTACAGTGACTAGTTAAACCAGATATCAGTAGGCGAACGCTAGATATCATCCTGCCCAATTAGCTTGAAAGATTCTACTAATAGCTTCTCCTTTCCCTGAAGATATTCAATGCAATCAGTCCCATAATATGTAGAATTATATCTGAGCTCGAAAATTAGAGAGAAAAATGTCTCTCTATTCCTTTTCGTCTGTGACCTTTTCTTTTAACCTAACTCAGCATGTATGAATTTTTTGTATCATAATAAATAACTCTGCATTTGGGTTTTTTAAAAAGAAGCAATATGCTTTTCTAATTATGCTTTCACTTTGTTATGAAAGAGGTATTTCTAGTTTTTTGTACATAATAATTTGTTCAAACATTTATCTTTAATTATAAACAAATACAAATAAACAAATAGCTTAAAAAAATAATAGAATAAAACATAACAGAGACAGAAGTAAACTCCTGTTGAATCTTTCTCTGTTCTTGCCAAACGTTCAACTTCCATATCAGGCTCGCAAAGTAGATACTTACGAGCATGACCTACTGTATCACTATTACTATGCTTATAGGTGCGAAAGGTGCACTTGTATAACATAAATAAGGATCCATATTTTTTGGCTTAATGTGATGAGTTTAACTGACAGGTATGGTGAAAAACAAAATTACATATTGATACATGACATAACTAATACTTCTTCTTTATCTTCTAAAGCATCAGTGCTTCTTATTTAAGTCTTTTACTGTCTGCTCATTAGGAATTAAATGGTGCTAATGGGAGTAAGGGAGAGTCTATTAATGCTACTGCTCTCCCAGGTCCATCTGTAAGTATTCTTCTAATTCCACAATATTAGATTTTATGTTGGACAACCTGGATTTTGAGCCGCATGACCCATATTTAAGTAGCATTTGGTGCATGATATCATAACTTTAATTACCTCCTTTTTTATTTCTGTTTTTTCTCTTTAGGGAGAATGGATTACAGATGTTTTTTTTCTGCAATTGTTAAAAAAAATCTATAAATTTTCCATTATGCAGAGCTTTGCACATATATTGTACATATTTTTAGCAATGTTGTGTGATGTAGCAACTAAAAGTAGAAACTAATATTAAAAAAGAAAGAATAGAAAGTATGCATTTTCCTATACTTTTCAAACAAAGATCCAAATTGTGTGCATTTGTATTCAGCCTTATTGCTGTGATACCCCAAATTAATCATGTATTTCACATCTCTGGTCTGCAAAAATGGCTATTTTCTTCTGGAAGAAAGAAATAATAGATTTCTTTTGCAGTTTGCTGGAAAGCAACTTTCGGAAACAACCAACAATGAGAGAGGGCACTCTTTTCAGATTTGACGAAAACTGTAATATTTTGCCTAACATACAAAAAGCTCTGTGTTTTGGAAAATTATACTAAATACTAATAAATATTAATAAAATACTTTACCCCATCCTTTTGAGTCATATCTGTAAAAAATACTGAGAAAAAATATTCCTTTTACTTCACAATTGCATGACATTGTGTTTATCTGTTTTCAAAAAATAAGTTACACACAACTAAATGAGAGTAATGATTATGCATAATATGCTTTTGTTTTTCGTGACACTGTATAAGGATCAGATAAAATCTGCTGTTTATGTATTTATTAATCAGGCGTTGTCAGGGAGCATTGGCCCTATAGTTTTTCACGGCCCTCCTGGACTTATTGGGCTTCAGGTAAAAAACATCTTCATGTATATTTTTATGTAATAATCTTTGCTACAGAACGTTGTTGTGCATGCACACAATTATGTATGAGCCACCCATTTATGGTTTAGAGGGTCCTAAAGGTGTAAAATGACCACCTGTATGTACTGTATACCAAAATTATTTGCAACCAACTTAGACCCACAGTTATCAAAGTTGTACTTATTTTGCAGGGTGACGCGGAAGGATTTCCTGATGGTCCTAAAGGTGACATGGTGAGAAACCATTCTATTATTTGGCTAATTTTAATCTGGTGTCCGTTCAGTTTGCATATATGTGTGTTTGATTTAAAACTTTAGGCTGAAAAGGGCACACCTGGTCCACTAGGACCAGAAGAAAGAAAAGGATTCCCTAAAGAATATCATGCTCACAAGGGCGAGAAGGTAGTAAAGTTTAAAATAATTTTGAGACAAATCAGGTTGACCTTGATATAGCACAATACATTAATTATAGATCTAAAAAAATATGTTTTATAGCCATAATTCAGCAGTTTTAGCATTTGAATATCACTTTGCCACTCTGCCTTTCAGGGACTTAAAGGATCATGTGGACCAAAGGGACAATGTGTGAGTAGTAGTAGTCTTCAATTAGTCCTGAGCAATTTAGAAGAGAGAAAACTTGTTTCTCTTTCTTTTTTTGTATTATTAGCATGATACAGGAGATGACAACAGCCTGAGCCCAAGAGGATCTAAAGGAGAGCAGGAAACACTTGGAATTCCAGGGGATGGGGTAGCTCAAGTAAATTTTAAATCCTTTTGAGGGCTCTTAGAAGAAAAAAAACAAAAAACATTTTAAATCATTTTGTCATTTTTAGGATATTCTTGAAATGGCTGGTTGGGATGGATTGGTAGGATCTAAGGTATACCTAAGGCATTATTACATTCTTATGAATCTAAGCATGTAAGCAAGGTTACTATGCAGAGCTTTGGATTTCAGTGTATTCCTTCAGTCAAAGGACTTCCAGGCTGCGCTGGAAAAATTGGAGAAAATAATTCTGTTGGTTTATAATTGAATTTTAATGGCATAAAAGTATGCAAATGATATAAAATGTTTTAATACGTTTGCCTGTTAAATGTTCTTTCATCCTAAAATAAAGGTGCTAGAGTCACACTAAAAAGTAAAGATGCTGAAATATGTTTAACAGATGCTTGAATTGTAATATCATTAAAAAGTGAATTTCTTTAAGTAGGTTATATCGCTAGGTGAAACGTATATGAAGTGATTACATTTAGGATTTTCTTCTTAAACCTTATAGAAGAGACTTTTCATTTATTATATTAGAATATCACATCTATATGAAAAGCTTTATTACAAAATATGTGAGCTTATTGAAAAGCCTCTTTGTTACCCACTTGAAGTTTATTTTTATACTGTACCTGTAATCTCACAAACTATCCTCATCAGAATCTAGATTCTATTGAAAAAACTGTCAAAATAGGAAAAAATGTGATGTTAAGTACTGCCCCCTGGTGACTATTTAGTGAAACAGTACAATATTATGTAATACAACTTCAACAACCCACTATTTATAATTATAAATTATATCTAATGTGTTTCATTTCAACAGGATTGGCCAGGAGATTCGGGTGTCCCTGGACCTTCGCAGTATCATTACGAAAGTCCCATGAGAGGTGAGCCCAGATTATAAATAGCTTTGCAATTTTCCCATGAGAACATTAAGAGGAAATACCAAAAATATTGAAATACGGTGAGGTAATAGTTCTGTAATTGAAAAGTTGAATATTGCTTTATCATACTTATATTAATCATATTATCTTACAAGTATTTTCTTTTTATAATAACCATTTGAGATGTGTAACTCACTGAAACTGTTATTCAGCTTAATTATATTTTACATCAAAAATAAAAATAAATAAATAGTCTTCTTTCTAAACAGACAAACTGAGAGATTGATACTTGATAGAAATGTACTATGCTCCCTCTTAATGTTTTACCAAATAGCATTTGAAGAATCAAATAATGACATTCCATCACACACAGTTTAAATTTATCACAAAACTGCCAAGTGTTTTCTTTCCTCTTAGAATGCAAAGATCTTTCATATCAGAGAACCAAAATAATTTTTTTTGTTGTTGTTCTATGTTTATATGCTTAAGGTGCCAAAGGAGACCGTGGTCACCCAGGTGTATCTGAGCTGCCAGAGGAGCCTGGGTTTAAGGGCATTCCTGGGCCGCCGGGCCCCCCAGGGTTATCAGGTAAACGTTTAAAACACTGATGCAAGAGCAATCTACCACCTTTCTCATGTCACGCCTTCTAAAGCCTGATGAACTTTGTCAGCAGGTTTGATGAAATTCAAAGTAGAGCATAGTATACAGTCAAAAGCTGCATTGTTACAGTTTAGATTACCTTTAGTTACACCTAAATATGTGTACTTCTACGCTACAGATGCAAAGGACATATTTTTACGTCAGATCAAGCATTTATAAGCAGTATCTTGTACAAAAATAAGGTTACAAACTAAAACCTTCATATATACTAGCAAATCAGTCTTACAAACAAGATGTGTGCATTAAATTTCTACAAAAGGATGTATGCTGGTAATATCACTTGTTTTGTTTGACCAAATTCCACTTCTGTTCAAGAAAGTTCTGTTTAAAATAAGAAGTTTGTGTAAATGCAGAAATGTTCTATAAAAGCTGCAAGAAACTGTCTTGCCCATGTAAATTCTCACATTATTTTCATTACTGTTCTAGAGTTGCGTGATGCACCTGTTCAGCCAGGTGTCCCTGGAGAAAAGGGCCAAAAGGGAGAACCAGGGATATTTGATTCAAATAAAGTCATTTTTAATCTGGGAACAAAGGGAACCCAAGCAACAAAAGGTGCCAAAAGCCACCCTGGTCCTCAAGTTATACACAACATCAAACATATTTTACTCCTACATATACAGATTTTTAAAGAAATTGGTCATTTTTTAATTTTCTTTGTGTCGCTATTTTGCACAAAGTTTCTGTTTTTTTTAATGTTTTTTTTTTTTTTTTTTTTTTTTTTTTTTTTTTTTTGGGAATGGTGTGATATTTGTGCTGGGATCCAACCAGGATGTGCAAGTAATTCTTCTAAATAATAATTCATGTCATCAAAATAAATAAATAAAAGAAATCCTCTGCAGACACAGTTTATAGTTAGTCAACGTCTCTGATTTGTTTATCTCACAGATTCTTATTGCAAGCCTAGTTCCCTTGGGGAACCTGGTGAGGATGGACCCAAAGAGCTGACAGGAAACAAGAGCTTTAAAGCAGCTAAAGGTAATTTGTCTCTCTATGTACACAAAAGCAAATGTATTTTTGCCGAACATGCTGCTCTAAAAACATCAAGAGTAGAAATCTGTAATAGGAATAGGAAATGAATCTGTATCTTTTTATGTGAAAAAAACTTTTTAAAATTTACAATATTAACATTTACCTAGGTTTAATTTTGTTTGCATTGTAAGCAAGAGAACATGTCTAGCTCAGACTAGTGCATCCTAAAGATAAAACCCCCAGACCGAATATGATCGGAGTGGTATATGCTGTTCAGTGCAGCGAGGAATGCTCTGATCTTTATATTGGAGAAACCAAACAACCTCTCCACAGACGCATGGCCCAACACAGAAGAGCGGCCTCCTCTGGACAAGACTCCGCAGTACACTTACACCTTGTGGACAAAGGACATTCTTTTGAGGACCAGAATGTTCACATTCTGGATAAAGAAAATAGGTGGTTTGAGAGGGGCGTGAAGGAAGCCATCTATGTTAAGAGAAAAAAAAACAACTTTAAACAGAGGTGGTGGACTCAGATTCCTACTTCCAAAAACTTACAATTCAGTCATAGAGATGATCCCTTCCAGATATCACCACACCCCCCACCCCATCACAGACGAACAAAGTACCTCCCCTCTTCAGCCGGTGAACAATACCTCCTTAATGACCGACCCTTAACAATCATAGACAGGTTTCAGGTATTACAAACTAAAAATCGCACCAAATGACCCACTCGTCGTCGGTTACCATTTGCATGTGTCCAAGCAATACAAGGCCTTGTCTCTATAAAGACTTAAACTCACTGCAGATCCAGACATTTGAATTGAGAAAGCTTCCTGGAGGGGAAGCGAAACGTCTTCAAATCTTGGAAACCAAGTCCAGTAGATAGTTTTTTTGTTTTTTTGTTTTTTTTTACTTTTACGGAATGACTATGACCTGGATGACTAAAAATCTTCATCAGAAATGTTTAATGTTTGACGAGCAAGGCAGAGCTTAAATCAGAAAAGAATGATGGCTTATGATGCCCAGTCCAAATGATGCAAGGACTGTTTTGAATACTCACTGGAAAATGTTCAAAGATGCTGCTACATATGACAACAACAAAAAAATATGGATGAGTGTGCCATGACTGTGTCAGCCTAAATGCATTTAGCTCAGCTGAATGCTGAGTGAACTAAAACATTTCTTTGGAAGGTTTGAGGCACTAAACAGCACTCCAGCAGTGACAGCTGTTCCACATCAGGGAGATGAGGCACTCAACCTGGACGTAGCTGAAGTGAGGAAAACTCTGAGGAGATTCAATCCAAGGAAGGCCCCACGGCCTGATAACATAGCTGGGCGGATGTATAAGGAGTGTGCAGATCGGCTGGCTGGTGTCCTCACAGATATTTTTAACACCTCGCTGGACCAATCCATACTGTAGTGCCAGCATGCTTCATGTCTGCCACCATTATTCCGGTCCTAATGATGCCACACGTCTCCTCATTCAATGACTATCGGCCTGTCGCACTGACTCCAATCCTGATGAAGTAATTTGAAAGGCTGGTTAAAGAAAACATCATCTCCAGTCTCCCCCCAACATCTGAGCCATTCCAGTTTGCCTACCGACGGAACCGCTCCACTGAGGACGCCATCTCCTCTGCTCTACACCTGATTCTGGCACACCTGGAGGAGAAGAACACCCATGTGCAGATGCTGTTCCTGGAATTCAGTTCAGCTTTCAACACCATCATCCAGCAGCATCTAATGGGCAAACTGGAACAGCTGGGCTTCAATATACCCCTCTGCAATTGGCTGCTATACTTCCTCACAAAACCTTTGTCAGTCCAGGTTGGACAAAACACCTCTGATGTCATCACACTAAGCACAGGCTCCCCTCAGGGCTGTGTCTTGAGCCCCCTGCTGTTCACTCTAATGATACATGACTGTGTCCCCAGTTTCACCACTTACCACATTGTGAAGTTTGCAGACGACACCATGGTGGTGGGCTTCATCAGAGACAATGACCTGGACTACAGAGAGGAGGTGGAGCAGCTGGTGGGCTGGGGCAAAGATAACAGCCTTATCCTGAACGTGGAGAAGAAGGAGAGCATTGTCGACTTCAGGAAGAACCGGCCTAACCACACTCCTCTGCTCATCAACAGCCCAGCTGTGTTTAGCAGCACCAAGTTTCATCCCAGCGCTGCATGTCTTGAGCCTGTAACATCATCAATGACCCCTCACACACCCACCATAGACTGTTCTCCCTGCTGCCCTTTCGGGAAGAGGTTTCACAGAATTTGATGCAGGTCCAGCAGATTCCGCAATAGCTTCTTCCCCACCGCCATCAGACTGCTGAACTGCTGACAAAAAATAACTCCAAACCATGTCATATGTACCTAAAGAACCTAGAACACATCAAAAGTTTTAGGTGAGGATTAGTTACATGTTACATTTTGACATTTATGTATGACAAAATCTGCCTTACAGAAGGACATTCTGTTTAAAAGCACATACTGTTCTCCAATTTCTTTTATTTTGTAAAAAGAGTAAGGTAAATTATTCATGTTATTTTCTTTTAAAGAAACACTATGGTACTAAATAAATTCTAGACTGTAATTTTCAGTACATAATGTCCAATACATGAAAAGATTCCTGTGCTTCATATATATATATTTTTGTCTTTGGAAGGTGATAATTGGGGTAAAGGAGAATCAGAGCATGCCGGTCCTCCAAGAAGAACAGAGGGGGCTGGAAAACAAGGCTTTTTGGGAGAACCTGGTCAACTAGTATGTATGCACGTAGCTAAAACTTTTATATGTATCTCAGCAGTGAGGGATGGTGTAAGTAGTGATTTTAATTTAGCCTGCTATATTTTGGATTACACTGTTGTGCAGGTTTGTTTCTGTACGGGCCTGGTCAAGTCTCCTGACTTGATCGAAGTGCTATTAGCCATTCAGCATTTAAAGCAGGTGAAAACATGTTTGTATGCACAGAGCAGATCTTTAAGGAAGGCACAAAGTGGTTTGCTCAATGCAAATGTGCTTGCAAACATATTTGGAGCATTGAATAAAAATAGTACAATAATATCAATAAGGAAAAGACATCTATTCAAAAACAAATTAAGGAAACAGGACAGCAGACAATCTGAAACAAAGAAATTGACTGAAGTGAAAGCATTTTAATTGACATGTTTAGATAATAAACAAACTAAAATAGTTTGCAATCTCACAAAATTGAACATGCAGCCCCTCCAAAAAACAAACACACACCTTCACACCCATTTTTTTTTGGAATCTTTGAATATCACTCCCTATATATTTAAAACTTTCACGGATTCAAGCAAACTACATCTTTGAAATAAAGGAGAAAAAACATTTTTTTAGGCCACTGTTGGTTAACCATTTTTATGCAAATGTCAATATTTGTAGGGTCCTGGTTATCCAGGACTAAATGGCCCCAAAAGTATTCAGGGTTTTAATGGACCTAAAGGATTCTCAGAGACTGTGGGTCCTTTGGGCCTTGGGCTCCCTGGTCTACTGGGCAAACCTGGACAACAAGGAAATCCAGAATTCCCAGAGCTTCCAGGTCAGTTCTTAAGTTGTGTAAATACTGTTTTCCCATTTCTACAACAGCCAATATCTCTTATTAAAATGAGACTTTTCTGTCAGGTAAAACACTCCCATGCTGTCATGAAGGCTACATTGGCTTACCAGGGTCTAAGGGTTTACCAGGTAATCCTTGTTTGCAGTTTGAGGTCAGATGGGGCTGATTGGACCATTGTTTCCAAGGCAATAATTCTCATGTAATCAACTTTCTTTTTTCTGATGGTGCAAATGGAGATATAGATGACCATGGTCCTGGTGGGGGAAGCCCAAATGACCCTGATGAACATCCTGGGTTGCTAGGAGCCAGTGCAAAAACGGGTAACCAAGCAGACATTTTCTCAGCTTGGCCAGGTGCTACTGGTTCCCCTGGACCACAAGGAGTTGTTGGGTCATATAAAATCACTGGGACAACGGAAAATCCAGGATTATCAGGTTATTTTAATTAGCATGAATACTAAGACTCTTGCTCATGACATGCAAGAGCTACATTTTGTTGTATGCTTGTAGTCTTTAAAAGTGCTTAAAAGTTTAATTTAGTCTCTTCAGATGATGTTTTTAGACTGTTTCATATTCTTTTAGTCCCTCGCTTCTCTATTCTATATTATATTTTGGCAGCTTTTGCTTTTTTCACACTATTTCAATGGATTTCCAACTAATGTCTTAACCCACCATTTCTCTTTTCTCATGGTAATTTTGTCATCCTAGATGCAGGATGCCAAAGCAAAAAGAAAATACATCTAAATGTCCCTCTGTTTGGTGTACAGACAAATTATTACACATTCCACAAGCATTTAAATCTCCTTCATTTATGATAGGGATCTATCTTAGGGGAAAATTCCTCTTTGTCTGTTCGAAGTATATCAGGGGTGATAGACAGCTTCAGAAAACCTTGGCCAGAATGCCAAGGAACAGGGCAAAATGGTAAATTGTAAGTAATGCAATAATGACAATAGGCTTTATTATCAATGTGTTGATATAATTTACAGGCTGTTGCTTCAATTGCAGCATTGTGACTCCTGCTCCTTAAAGAAATAATTTTTTTGAGTATTTTAAATCAAATTATTATATACAGTAAACAGTTTTGCTATAATTTTGGTGTCCATTGGAACACATGATCAGAATATTTTCAGGGGAATCCCTGTTTCTCGTTTTTGCTAACTTGTTTACTAAGTTTCTATAGAAGACATTTCAATTTGTGTGGTGGTAGAATTTATATTTTAAAATGTCCTTCATGTAGTTTGTGTTAAGATGTCAGTAACAATAACCAGAACAAAGTATATTTAACAACTAGGAAGTTTTCTCTGCTACTGATTAAGAATTTCATTGTTTATGTAGCTTGTAAGTGTTAAACGCAATTTTCATTGTTTGGAATTATCTTTTTCTTTGATTTTCCTTTGGATCAAACTCTGGCTTAAATATGTGGGACTGACTGGCAAACTGTTCTGTTGATTACAGCTTTTCAGATTTTAATATAAAAGTATCTATGCCACTAGAAAGCAGTACCTTTGATATAAAAAACAAACAAAAAAAATGGGAGAATTGGAGGAATGAAATCCTACGCAATCTGAAGAGGGGTGGGAGTGTGAAGTGTCTTATCTGTATTTAAGGAGACCGGTCAAAAATGAGTTGCTCCAATACACCCTTTAGAAATGTAGTGAAATGCACGCGAAGCTTCAGTGACAACGCATTTTGAACAAAGCAAATGTTAAAAGACATGTACTTATATAGCGCCTCTATTCAAGTCAGGAGACTTGACCAAAGCGCTTTACACTACATTCATTCACCCATTCACGCACACACTCACACACTGAAAAGCACTGCAGCTTTATTTTATACAAATGAATGATATCAGTGGGAAAAGGAATGATTTACAGTAAAACATAAGATTTGTTCTTGAAGATAGAAAAAAAAACAATTATTAACTAGCTAGGAGCCTGTTTATGTACAATGAATCTCTTGATCAACTTTATCTTGGAATTTCAGGACTACTTGAACCCAGAACCCATAAAGGAAGTTCTGAAGATAATCGTGACTCTCGAGCTACTGGTTTCCAAGGTCCACCCTGTACTGTTTGTGATATGTTAAGCCCACCTTGGCCTAATGGCTCTTCAGAGCAACCCAGTCAACAAGGAACAGGAGGTTAGCACATCACTGTTAAAGTTAATGCCGGTGGTAAAAACTATATTTCCTAATTTTGTGCTTATTTTGTGATGTCATGAAGGCTACCCTGATGAGAAAAGTTTAAGGGGAGATATGAGTACAGTTGGCCATAGAGAAAACGGTTTAAAAGGTAATCCTGGTAATTCTGGTGCACTTCGCCAAACTGGATTAAGAGAAATAGTTGGTTCTGCAGGAGACCCTGGTATTGATGGTTTACACAGACAAAAAGGTAAATCACATTTTACACATAAATTATTTTTTTCTGTTGTAATTAAACAATGGATTCAGTTTGTTGTAAAGAGGATAACAACAACCTTAGGACACTTTTAAATATTCCTTTTTTTTTCTTTTAGAAAAAAAAATGTTTTGCTTACATAGGGAAAAAGGGCCACTCTGAGTAGCCTAATTCAAGCCTAATAAATAAAAAGGGAGAAAGAGGATTCAGTAGTCACTAGACAAGAGGATTCACTAGGGAATGAAGGAATTCCAGAAATGACTGATAAAAAAGGTAGATCCTTCAAAAAACTATTTAGTACATCCCCCCTGTAGCTCACATCTTTTTTGAGGAGTTATGCATCGGTTTCTTAAATAATCTACTTAACCAATAATTATCTAAACAGACACAAAAGAAAGAAGAGTATTTAAAACGATCAGCTGAAGTAAAATAAATTTGGTGGTATAGAAAATCTGATTCAGAGTGAAGCAAACACCTTCGGATCCCCTGCTGATTGCCTGATTTTCATTCCAATTATAATAAATCTAAAAAAAATACATATCATATAATGATAAAATATTGAATTTTGATGTCTGTGTCTGATATAAGGGATTGTGTTTAGGATTCCTTTACAGTACATCTTTATTTCTCTAGAAAATATAAAAACATTAAACAAAACTAAAAGCCCTTTACTATCTTTGACTTGAAAGTGAAACTCCATCAACTTAAAATCATTTTACACTTTCTGCTTTTTTATATATATATAAGAATATGTTTAAGTGGCCTTAGTTTATCCTTTTCTGTCTTGTTTTAATGATTAGTCACTTTGGGGTATAAAGAAATATTTCAAACTATGATTTCTTATTCATAATATCTTTTGAAATACAAAATACCAATAAAAGAAAAACATGTATTTATTTGATAAATGCTTATATATATCAACCTTTACTTTTTTAAAGTGTTGCCCTATTTGTGTAAAAGAGTGTAACAAATTTTTAACAACTTATTTAATTTCCCCTTGCGATTAATAAAGTATTTTTGAATTGCGTTGAATTGAATATACTGTATAGGATTTTTTTTTATTAGCATATAAGTTTTGTTTTATTTCTAGGTTTAGCTGGACCCATTGGATTGCCAAGATTATGTAAAATATTAAAACGGAGAAAAGGTTAGTTTGGATTTTATGGAAAAATTGGGCCATTGGGTTGGCGTGATTAATAGTGTTTTCTGGTGTTTCAGGTAAAGAAGAATTATCAGGCCCCCCAGGATATAGTCAGATCGAAGGGTTCCAAGGTCAAATGAGACATTCTGGGAATCCTGGAGATCAGGTAAACAGTACAAGTTTTTTAATCTAAACAGTTAAGTAGGAGTAATTTTTCATATATGTAGTGTACTTGTAGCTGTAGATGATTCATATTTTATAAATCTACAAATCTGCTGAAAACATCCTCACACACCACCTCAATTTGGTTAAACCGAATGATTAACCGTTCAAATCCATAAACTCTTTGCTAATAGAAATCAACATACTGTGCTGTTGGTTGTTCAGTGACACTTATAAATCCCAGTACATTTTAAACCATACAAGATCCTTAGACCCTCAACGTAAAACCTCCAGACCTAAAGTGAGTGGAGTGGTTGACCTTAGAAACATGCATAAGAATAACAATAGTGAAGAGTTAAAAGATAAACAAAAAAAAATATGTACTGAAAAGTGTTTTAACAATATAAAACCATGCACCTATGAGAAAAATTTAACCAATATGTAGCTATGGACATTTTTACAGTAATGGATATTTGAAAATAGCAGCAAGATCAGAGGTGTGCAAAAAGAGAGCAGCATGTTATTTAACTGACTAAGGTAGAAAGCAAAATCAGCATGAATGTAACAGTTTGTTGGCGTTGTTTGGAACAGTGGTGGTTATAGAGTCTTACAGCTGCTGGGAGGAAGGATCTGTGATAATGCTCCCAGGTGCATTTATGTTGTATCTATTCTCAACCACTCTGAATTTTAACTCAAACAGCCCCCTGAACAAAACACCAGTTTTGGAGGATGACAGAGTGGAGCATACATGTACCAGTTTGGTTTTGGAAATAAGTGTTTTAATCTGATAGTGCTCGATTCAAACAACAGTTTCAGGCCACTTAAGGCAACATTCTATATCCCATTTGCTGTTTCAGCATTTATCTTCCTTATGATGTTGGTCTAAATATGTCACTAGTTTGGATGTCACTAAAACAACACCCAGTCTTAATCATTCCTCTCTGTAGAAGTTGGGTTACATGAAAATGTTATCTTGTGCCATCATAGTCCTGATTGATACAAAAAAAATAAATAAATAAATAAATAACTGGGGTAAATTTATTTGGCATGTGTTTTTTAGCCATGTTTTTGATCAGAATAGTTGACAGTGTGTATTACTGTTTTTTTCTAGGTAGATTTGGGGCAACCAGGGCCTCTTAGTATATCTGGCCTTCCTAGATCTCCTGGTGCAAAAGGTAAGACATAAAAAGGGTGGATACTCTACCTTTGTTAATCTTGGTATCAGTAGCCCCAAATCCCTTTTTACTGAAATAAAGTCATATCTGTGGGAGCATATTAATGCTCAATCTATTTTTTTTTTTTTTTTTTTAGATTAAACTCTTAAACTAGATAATGGTTTTACAGTAGAAACAAAAATAAAAATTAAATAAAAAAATTTAAAACTTGTAATGTTACAGTATGTTAGAGCTACAATCCTTTTATGTGAAAAAAAAGGTTTTATTCCAAGAATGTATTATGCATTGTTATATATATAAAAGGTCAGATGCATTCACTTGTATAGCTGATTTAAAGCCTCATTCTTTATATGAAAATATTTTTTCAGGTCTTTAATGTTGAGATGTCTTTACATCTAACTCAATACAGTACTGTATGATGTAAACCTAGATGTGGTTATGTTTATTATCGCCACCAGAGGGTGCTTACGATGTAATGGCTGCACTGAACAAGTAGATAGCTTGTTTATAAAGAAATGCATTTTTTCAGTAAAGTTCAAGTCACAGTCCATTTTACAGTTTGTTTTGTCTTGTGGAATATTACATCTATGAGATATAACAACAAACATTTCGATTAGTAACACATTTAACTTTTAAAAAACGGCCAAGGGTGTTACAAAGCACATTTCTATGACCTCTTTAACATATGTGCATCTTTAGACTGTCCTGGATCCAAAAGTCTAACAGGGCGTCCAGAGTTTAGAGGTCCTTCAGACAACAAAGGACAACTACCAGGCCTGTCCGTCCCGCATGGCTCCACATGTGAAACTATACTGCATTCCTAAATTAATACCCAAATGCAAAAACACACATACAAACGCTTTGTAGGTTTCGGGATTCTTAGTCCATCATCAGATGACCATCATCTGATTTTTAAAAAATATAATTGGTAACATATAGGAAAGTATACTTTTTAAATAGTTGCATTTCAATAGTGAATATGTTTTTATTTTTCCCCAATAAGACTTGATAATATCCTGGGAAGGAATAATTTGTTCTTGTGTGCTTATGGAGACAGGAAATTTTTCTTAGTACCAATCAGGCACAGTTAGCATGTTTTTTTTTATTTCTGTTGTGATTTTATATTAGGGTGCCCTGGGAAAGGAAAAAGGAATTGGATGGATTGAATAAGCTGAGAGGTTCTAAAGATACAAAGAGGGAAAGTAGCAAGTAGAACATATAGGGTGTGACAAAAAATGTTTTGGGATATTTTTATTTTTAATGCTGAGTAAATCTCAAAAATAAAGGTCCAGTTTTATACATTAAAATGACAAACACCCTGCTATCACTGCCTGATTAAAACCAAGGGAAAGACGTTACAGGTTATGCAGCGAAAAATACTGTATTCAATCATCCATTCTGCATTTAGACCTATGAATCCTTGTACTGTTTTCTAAATGCTTTTCCGGGTCTGTTTTCTTATTCTTTAATAGCTATCTACTACATCACTATTTATCATCTAGAACATTTGGGTAATATAAAATATTTTTTCTCGTGTGACATGGCCTGTTAGATCGTTTCTTTGTACTGATGCATTTGGCTTTTTGACTACCATTGCTGACTGTGACATTGTATTTATTTTGGCAGGTGCTGCAGCAATGCCATCTTAAGAAAATAATTTGAGTTGTGAGTTTGTATCAGGGTTTTGAATGCATTTTCTTCTTTCTTTTCCTCTTGGACTACCTGGGGCACCAGGCACAAGCCTTATATATAAAGGAGACCCAGGACCAATGGGCCACCCTGGATCCCCAGGTTGCAAAAGCTTTCAGGGGCCTCATGGCTCTAGTGGCCTTCCAGAACCAAAGGGTAATTTCAAATGCTTAAATGGTAACAGCAGGATTCTTGGCTTGATACTGACTTGGAGAAAATATTTTGATATGATCTTATAGATAAGAGAGATCACAGTGGTGGTAGGAGACCTGATGGACCTAAAAGTCAAAAAGGTATATCTGGGCCCCAAGGTTGCAAGGGTGACCATGGACCAACTAGAGATGCAGGTGGGTGACAGTGTGGCAGAAAAGCAAAAACATGTTAACACACAGTAATAATATAAGTACCAAAAAGGATATATGTTGATGAATTCCCCAGGTTCACCACTGACACCTGTTGGTGTCTCTGGATTTAATGGACCCCAAGGTAAATGATATAATGCACCCTTCCCAAAGGTATCTGTGAAAAAACATAAGTGCAGGGTTAAATTAAACTGTATGGAAATTACACCTTACCTATATCTGCTTTAACCCCTGCATATATTTTTCTTAATCATTCAACTTTTCATTCTTTAGGTGCACCTGGTCCTCCTGGAAATTTAGCTGAACCAGGAAATAAAGGGCCAAGATCAAGCTTTCTTTTGGTTATCCACAGCCAATCAGTTGAGGTACCTCAGTGTCCTGCAGGTAGCAACCAGTTGTGGGTGGGTTACAGTCTCGTTCACCTAGAGGGACAATATAGGGCTCAGACGGAAGATCTGGGTAAGTCTGCATAGGATTCACTTCTAATTTTACATTACTTAAATCAGTTCTTATAGTTTAAAAAAAAGTTTAATTTTCCCATTTATTATCTTTTTCATATAGGCAAGCCAGGCTCTTGTCTCCCTGTTTTCTCCACAATGCCTTTCTCCTTCTGCAACAGAGAAGCCTGCTACCACTCAAGTAGCAATGGCAAATCCTACTGGCTTTCCACTTCTGCTTCCATACCCATGAGACCATTATTTGGCCAGGAGGTTAGCCTCCATATTAGCCGCTGTGTTGTGTGTGAGGCATTGTCACCTGCAGTGCCTTTTCACAGTCAGCATCAAGTTATCCCTCTCTGTCCACTGGGCTGGAGGAGTTTATGGACGGGATACTCTTTCCTTCTGGTGAGCTACATACAAAGTGCAAATGTGTTTATAGATGCCTTGAGAACTAAACTCTTCCCATCTAACACAACTGCATTTTAGCACACAGGTGTGGGTGACGGGGGTGGACAGTCATTGGCTTCTTCTGGTAGCTGCCTTAAGGATTTTCGAACTCATCCCTTCATTGAGTGTCAAGGTGCGCAGGGTTCCTGTCACTACTTTTCCAACCTCTACAGTTTTTGGCTGATCACTATAAGAGGGAGGAAGGAGTTCAACCCAAGTGTTGGGAGGATCAAACCTTCTGAGCAGCAGCGATTTAAGGCCAGACGATGTAATGTTTGTCTCAGAGATTAATGTTTTCTTTACTATAAGCAATATTTTATAAGCCTTTGTGATATTTTAGATTACTTAGACCAGGGACAGCACAGCATTAGTTCAACCTCAATTTAAGGCCACTACCTAACAGCTGACAGAGCACTAACCACCTGTTATTATTCTGTCCTTTTTGTGTTCTACATTAAGTCCAACTTGTTTTAAAAGAACTCAAAGAGGCAAGAAATGAATTTTTCTTTTCAGCAGAGTGTGTTTCTCTTTGCAATCACCAGTTTTCCCCTATTCTTTCAGTAATCATTGTGGAAATTAAAGACTAATTTTATAAATGTTTGTTGCTTTTTTTATTTATACATTTTGGTATGTTGATTTGACATCTAGAGTTTAAAATTGATCAACAAAGGATGATGCCACATGTTTTCCTTTTTTCTTTTTTCAAGTTAGAGGCATAGTTAAGGATGTTCTTTTTCCGGGTGGATCATCAAAATAAGTGGTCCTCCTTATTGTCAATCAGTCTGATGTTATTTTTACGTAAAGCCATCCCATGTTCTCATCCCCATTTTCACTTACCAGTGGTAAGTCTGAGATAGTGGAAAATTGCAAATGTTCTTTTGGAAAGTAAGCTTGTATGAGTGATGCAAACATAAACTTTTTAAAAAGAGCGTGCAGGAGCAGAAATGTGCTTGTGCATGCTCTTGCACACATTTAATAGGCCCACTCAGGGGCAGGTACAGGGTTAAGCATGTAAAATGTTTTTTGTTTTTTTGTTTTTTGTTTTTTTTATGGAAAGGGCGGGTCTTTTCATAAATATGCAAAAATCCTCTACTGTACCTTTAATAAAAGAAATATAATATACAATATTTTTCACTTTCTACTCACACATTTGTAAGCTGTTGACTAGTTTTCAGGCTATGTTAATGACACCAATAATAATATATAGTTTACAGGAACTAAAAACAAAAAAAAAAGCCCATTTTAGGAAAATAAATCAAAATTTAAACTAAAACAAGGGCTTAGGTCAAAAGAAGAGAAGTCTGGTTAATAATAAAAAGATCAGAGAGCATTAGTGTCTATTCCTTTACCAATCTATGGAAGTAAGCCAATAAAAAGTAGAACCTAAACTGGGTGTCCCCCACGGTTCAGAAAATAATAATGGGGTGGAATGTCAGGGTGGGGGGGAATCTTATTTCCCATAGCCTAGCTTTGGGTTGGAGGCAACTAGAGCCTTAAATAAAAATAAAAGTGTCCACAGGGGTATTTCTCTGACCATTACTAAGCAGAATACAAATGCAGCAAAAAATGCCAAAGAAAAGCTTTTTCAATGTAGATTTTATATTCATATTTATTTATTTATTTCAAAAGAGCCCAAGTGACAATCAGAATACAGGACTTTTTTTTCCCCTTTTTCTTTTTTTTTTCAATGTAACGCAAAACGAGAACACACAAAGAGGACTGACAGTGCGGTGCTCTCTCTACCTTTTCACAGTGCATGTTTGTACACACAAAAAGATTGTACATCGTAAATATTACATTTCCACCCTTCATCCATCAATGTTATGATAGAGGAATGTGAATATCTTTAAAACAATCATTTCTGAAATTGCGAAATGCAAGCCTAGGTGGCTTGGCACAAACTCAGTCACACACTCACACACTCCCACAAACAGGCTTTTTCTTTTCTTTTTCCACACACATACAGTAACAACACAAAGTAAAGTTTTTACTTTAACCCTCACCAAAGTGAGCTGCAGTTGTACACTCAGGACTGGCTCATTGGCCAAATTAATGATGATATTCATTATGTCAACATAGCATTTTAATGTAAAAAAGAAAGACCAATTTAGATGTCGGAAAGGGATTGAGGTAGAGGGTGAAAACAGGAAGAGAAGGACATGATTCTGTGTATTAGAAAATGATTGGTAGCGCTATTTTTAAAGCCCATGTTTTAAAGGCTATTGTGCAACCCTTGTCTTTTTGACTGCAATGTGATAGGTCCTTAAAACAATCTGATATTTCTAAAGTGGTTGCCGACCAATTCTGCATTGGGAACATCGTCGAAGACAACCAAATATAGATGACTGCATGTAGAACACAGCCAGAGTCCTGAGGCTTCGCTTTCCAGCCGACAAATTAAAACATAACAACATGGCACAACTCATCACTCTTAACATCTCCCGAAAATATATATAAGCTTAACATTGAACATTATTTCTTCAAGTGCATATGGCTATCATAATCTGTAGTAAAATTAGGAAATCCACTAAAAGCTTAGGTCTTGATTGTACTGGCTAACTGTTGCTATCAATTATTTACATGGTCATGGTGGCCACATTGTGTGTGTGTGGCATTAAAAGGGTGATATTACTCACCAACTCCTCCCAATAATAATTTTACAAGTATCCAACTGTCTGAGTGTAACCATCCTATGAGCTGTCATTATTGTTGCACCTCAACCAATTAAAATGCAGCTATTCTGTTACAAAGAAAGTCAACCCATTTGCAACAGCGAGCAAAGGAATAAAAAAAGCCAGAACATTGTTGTCACATATGCTGTTCTTGTTTATCTGCTGTTCATGCGCCTCATTTTCCAGCCCCACACTTAACAAATTCCCCATATGGCCCTGATAAAAAAAATAAATAAAAAAAACTGGCACAGCAGATTTGACACATGAACAGGCTTTGGTTGGTCATAGACAATTAAAAATGTGTCCTAATGCGCTATATAATAAAATATTGACCTCATAGCTTTTTTTTGGAGCTAACAGGAGGAATAACTCAACCACTTCAGAAGGGCTTTGAGTTTGCAAGCTATTGACCACAACTTACTAAAATGAAACAAACTGTCACAGTACCAACTGCTGTACATTCTAGAATATAGGTCAAGACTCTGAGAGCCTCCCTGGCATCCAAAACACCTTAATGTTCTCTCCTCAACTTATCATACAACAGTGAAAATGTGAAGAATATAGTATCAAGCATTGGAGCAGAATTTAAGTGTTTTTGCGCACACACAAAGAATTGGGAATTAAAAAAATTATGTTACTACAGTACAAGTATTGATAGATTATGTCATTTAAATGTAAAATAAACTAGACAAAAAATAACATTGAAACAAATACTAGATTGCATTCAAATCTATTATACATAATTTATTATGCTTTTTGTTTCCCATTGTTTTATTTAGAAAATATCTGTTCATCATTGAATATCTACTCTACTAATCAATGTACAAGAGTTCAGTCACAGGAAATAGAAAAATATCAAATATCACCAGTGATGATAAGAAAATGTGACAACCTGAACAAGCAGAAATATTGCAATGGTAACAACTATAGTCCTGACATCAGCGAGTATCACACCCTCTGGTGCACTTTGCGGTCACCCTGAAGCATTGTTACAGTGGAGACCCAGTACCACAAACAAGGGAGAAGGAGTGTGTGAGAGTTGTGTGGTAAAGAGGTTGAAGGTTTCCTTTGTCTTTCTTTTTTTTGTTAATGTCAGATGGCTGTGTCCCAAAATACAGTTGTTTGTGTTGGGTATGGTGGAGGGCGAATCTTTTTGGTTCCACTGCTTTTCCCGCAGCCAGCGAGGATAGATGCATTCTCCTGCTTGCACTGACTTCGCTCGAGGTGTTTGTCGTCATTCTTGTCTGTAGGTGGAGACCTCTCCAGATATCTCTGCAAGTGTGGGTGCTGTCTAGAAAGGATTTCTGAACAAAGGTTACGTTTTCTCTCTATTTGCTCAAGCATAGTGGTGTCTCCGCATATCCATGGCATCTGGAGCATCTGAGAGACAGAACAAAAGTGTTGTTCATATTAATTTAGCTATATTTGTAATGTCCAAGTGCAGCAAATGTCATCCCATAACATTTAAACATTTATAACTCATGATCAAATATATAGGATTGCATGTGATAGAGTTTTTGGATAGTATTCATATCAAATCGATTATTTACAGCACAGAAAATCATATTTTTACTTTAAGATCAGATTATATGTAGCGAGACACCCAAGTACGAAACTTTTAAAACTAGCTCATCATATAATGGCTACTAATAAAAGTTCCTTGAACTAACTGATTGTCTTTTCATCAGTCACCCATACTGAGTAGATGTGTGGTTGAGTGAACGTTTAATAGAAATCAAAAAGTCATCAGCATAGATTGAGATCTGCTCATTAAATAGATTTATGACTCATCAGCAGATGCACTTAATTTGATTGCAAAAAAAAGTCCTGAAACAAAGTTTTTACATCCATTTAGTGTATTTCTTGCCATGAATAACATCACTGACCTAAAAAATGACAAAAACGACTGACTTAAAAAAATAAATAAATTATGTCTTCCATAAACTACAACTTTAAAACCTTTTCTGTGCCTTTTATCTGGTAATGCTTAGAAAACAATGCGGGTTTTAAATTTTGAGTTGCTTTAGATGATAAATACTACCGCTATTTGATTGATCTGTTCTAAGAAAATATCTCTAGCTTTTAGGAATTACCCTGGTTTTCCAGGTGTATGATGCACATTATGCTGTCTAGAAGTTTGTGTCTAAAAACTGAAAAATGTAAACGTTGTTTGACCAGGATTTGAAGGGAAGTGATGGATAATTACATTTATGTTTAGTTGCACTATGAACACATGAACTCAATAATTAGTCGTTGTACAGATTTTTTTTAGGCTTTTTAGAGTTTAACTTAAAAGTTTGTCTAATGTTATTTCTGTAAACATCATTAACTTTTAATATATTATAGTCATAAAAAAAAAATTAAAGAACACAACTTCATTCATTCATGTCTACTGCGTTCTTCAGGTAATTCATCCTTAGAAACAGAAACTCAAGAAACTAAGGTTAGCCTAATAATATTTTCATGACTGTATGTTTATATAAACATTCAACTTATAAAAAAAAACACTTTGCACTGTTTATTCTTTTAATTATCATTACTTTTTAACAGGACAGCTGCTATTTACTTCCTATATTATAGAAGCAAACAAGAATATGAGATGTTTCATTAAATACAACTTCTTATGACTTGACACTGTATGAAAATATACAATGATCCCTTAAAAAATAAACATAAGCAATAATACAATATACAATATATATATATATATATATATATATATATATGAATATATAAAGAAAATGTAACATGTCTGCATACCTGACTTTGATGTGTCTCTGCTGCTCTCCTTTGTGGCGTTCCCATTGGCGAAGGATTATTTGGCGTTAAAGGGGAGCGGCTATACTTAGGCGCTGTTTTCAAATCTACAAAAAAAAGTTTTTGTTTTTTTTAAAACAGAGTATTTATACTAATTAATTCATTTAAACTTTCTAATAAACTTTCAGCTACCTGTTTGTCATTAGAAAGTTTAAATAAATTTTTTTTTGTAATTTTTCTATTTGACAAGATCACAATGTACTGTATATCCATAGTTTAGAGACGACATATAAGGACTCACCATTTCCAGTTCCTGCTGTCAAAGGTGGGCTACGGGATGGTCTCCCATTGTGAGTAGGTGTAGCTGATGAATTGTGCCCTGAAACACTGCTGCCATTTCTTTCTTGTGCTTTTGACATGTCCATGTTTTTTTTCGCTCCTTTATCACGCCGTGGTGTACCATCTGATTTGTGCCCACGTTCTCTATCGCATCTATACTCCACTGTAGGAGGACTCTTGGTGCACTTGATGTCATAATAAAGCTGCTCTGAGCCATTGAGACTTCTGTCTTTGCTGTCCCGTCTCACTTCAAGGCCTGTCCTATTCAGGTCTTTGCTCTCCTGCCTTGCAAAAAGGGCGGGAGGAAGGTCCCCTCCGTTGTGACAGCTCCAATCTCTGCCCTCATACTTAAAATCAACCCTGTTGCTCCTGTAGGTTTCCTGTTGATGCAGCATCTCAGGAGGCTGGTCTATTCTTCCTTCATGTTTATGTTCAGTGCTACTTCTTTCTCTCTCTACACTCTCTTGATGGAGTAACAAATCAGAACGATTGTCTTTGCATTCATGCCTATACTCTAGTCCATTTCTAGGTCTGTCTTTGCTTTCCTGATGAGACAGGAGCTCACTGACCCGGTCTCTGCTGTCTTGCTTTGATTCAAAACCATTTCTGGTTCTCTCTTTGCTGTCCTGTCTAGGTAAAAGCTCAAGTGGCCGATCCAGCAGTCGCTCCCTGCTTTCATGCTTGTAATCGATACCGTTCCTCATCCTTTCCTTGCTTTCTTGTCTTAATAATGGGTCGTGAGGTTGATCTATCAATTTTTCCTTATCTTTGCTGTCTTGTCTTTGTGAAGATTCTATTTTGTGTCCCACACTTCGATCTTTGCTGTCTTTCCTTGGCATCAGTTCACCATTACTAAGACCTCTGTCCTTGGAGTCTTTTCTTATCAAAGGTATGGGATCTAAGGAGCTGCAACTTCTGTCTTTGGAGTCCCTTCTTCCAGGGATTGGCTCTAGACAACTGGAGGACTGATCCTTGCTGTCCCTGCAGACAATGGGCATGTCTGTACTGCTGAAAGTGCGGTCTCTACTGTTGCGTCTGTGAAGTGGAGGTTCTGTATTGCTGCCACCTCTATCTTTGTCTTTTTCTTTATCTTTTTCTCTTCGATGAGATGATTCCTTGCTATGACGCTCTTTGGACTCACGTTTGGATTCCTTGCTGTGGCTGTGGCGTTCCTTACCTTCTCGCCTGGAATCACTGTGTGACTTGACCTTAGATTCAGCTGCAGAGGGAAAAAAAACAGTTATTCTAGCTCCATATAAATTTGGATGTTTTCATTTTGTGGTTGATAACTCTTAGTCTCCAATACCATATTATCAATAAGTTGTTTGAGTGAATATTTTTTTTTCTTGCTATATTAGCTAATATCCACTAGATGGCGCTAAATCCTAGTTAATGTTAGGAAAGAGCCTTGAGAGCACATAATTAAAAAAAAATGAAACAGTTTTTTTTCACCCATTTTATAATACCGGTACTTTAATTTTCATTGAAAATCACAACTTTGATTAGAAGTGAATGAAAAAAACCTTAATTGAGGTCATTTTAAAGTAAAATGATTTTACTCTCAAATCAATCGGTAACCTAGTACCCTACTCTGTTTCTGCTTTCTCAAGGCGCACATCTGTGCCAGCCTGATTGGCTTAACCATGGGAAAGGTTTGTGCTGATTGGACAAAATGGGAGTTAAAAGGTTTCAACGTCGCTGTCAGCTGCTCAACAGTCGTTTGTGGACCACCATGCCCTGAGCTGTGATTGGCTGGATTACCCACGGGAAGAAAATCTAGCAAATAAGAAACAGGGATTTTGCTTCCTTCCCCTGTTGCTATGTTGTAGTTGCTAAGAGTATTGACTGAGGATGGAGGTGTAGAGTCTGTGTGTCATAATTTATGATTTATGGGAAAAGTCCTTCAATCAAACCATAAAGTACAGATAGATTTAAAACTCATACATTTTAGCTTTATTTCTGCGAATATCTCATACTGTAAAGACAGCTCAAAAGAAGAATAAAGCTCTATAGTTTCATTACACATTTCAGGTTTTCTATCTCTATGTTTTTTTGTTATCTTACTATAATGTCTATATTTATGAAACATCCTATTGCCTGATAAGGGGGTCATTCATAAAAGCAAATTTGAAAAGGTTGCTTCATCCATGCTCAAAATAATTGTCAACATGTTTTATGGCCCAGAACAACAAATGAATATGTGTTTTCCAAATTGCAGTTGACAAGAGATACTAATAACACAATTCTGATCTAGGTCACAGTTTTAATATCTTTTCAGAGTTAAAGTTATAGTATCTTCTTGTCTTTCAGCAGATTCTGCTTTTCTATGCAAATGAATTGACGAACAGGTTTTGGCAGCATCTTGAATGAATGTGGCATGAATATCGGTATTTAAATCTGATGTTTACATATTTAAAAGTAATCCTGCCTGATGGCATAATGCTATGAGTTGGTTTGAGAGACCCGCTGTCCGCTTTAGTCTATAATCTCCTCAGATTAAACCGTACGATCTGTATCTGACTTGGCTTTGTGAGCCTACATTATTCAAAGGCAGAATTTGCAGAAACCATTTTAGAAAATTTTTGGAAAACTATTCAAAGCTTTTTAAATAAAGAGGGTTAATAATTGTTACCAAAAATAAGACAAATTAAGAGTTTTTATTATTTGTGATACACTCAAATTTTGCAAAAGATTTCTTGCATGGCTGTGTCTTTAAAACTTACTGATCAGATATGCAATTGTTAAACATGTTAGTGGACATCCAATTGCAATCCATTTTCCATTTATTTATTCACAGTTTAGGTAACCAGATATAGAGTATTGTACTTATATATTATGAACAACACCTTATATATCATATCCATCCTTAATATAAAAGCAACTCTGAGATTTAACTTACTCTCTCCAGGTTCTTTTGACTTTCTTCCACTGGTGTTTTTCTTTAACATATTCCGGCCTGTGGTAAACAGGTTTGTTAGTTCATCCAGTGGACTGGTGGGTGTGCGTGAACGACTTGTTGACACATTCTGCATAGAGCCATGGAGTCGTCCAACACCTTCTTGAGGTGGGGAACCTTTGCCATGAGGGGTAGCAGAGGCACTCCGTGGGAGACCCCCGGGAAATGGAATTGGAGCATCAAATGGAGGTGTACGCATCAAGCTCAGAGGGGTAAGACAGCGCCCCATACTGACTGGTGAAGGGCAGGCAGAGTGGCTTCGCTGATAGGACGATGATGAGGAAGATTTATAGAGAGTACAGGGGAGAGGAGGTGCAGAGGAGCGGCCTGAGACAGTGAGAGTTGGGGTAGCAGTGAGCTCCCTGCGGATATGAGCAGAGGTGGGAGGCTCACTTGAAGAGGTGGGAGATTTGCTATAGGGTTGGTTCTCCAGCATTGGTAGTTTGGTTACATCTAAAGGTGTGAGAGGAGACTCATCTGAGTTTGGTGAGCACTGGGCTGGTGCTGGAGGGAACACCAGCAGCGGAGGCCGGTGAGTGAGTAAATTAGGAAAGGGTGCAGGAATGTCACAGAGAGGAATGTTTCGAGGCGTGGAGCAACGGCTGAGAGGCTCAGGGTCATAGGGTGCCGGGGTGGGACAGGCAGAACGACATCCAATGGGATCACTTCGGTATTCCATATCATCCAGGGCTGGATACTTCATTTCCTCATACACAGACTCTCCTGGTTCCTCATCCTCACTCTTCAATGGTTCTCGCAGCCCTATGTCAATCCCACCCATTTCTATATAAATAGGTTCATCCTCACAGTCATCTGTAGGACTTTCATCACTCTGGGGAGGCGAGGGTTTACGTTCACACGGGGATGTGGTGAGCTGGAGGGGCTTGGACGGGCACACGCCACTGCTTCCGTGACTCCTAATGTAGGACTCATCGAAGGAAACACTAAGTTGTGTATTGGGGTTCCTCTTGGGTTTGGGGGGTGGCACTCTCCTACAGTCCTCATTGCATTCTTGTGCTGGCAAAATACAGAAAAGACTCAATTAGCAAATCTATTGTGACAAACAAAGCTCTGAAGTATGCTTTTTTCTTTATTATATATCTGTTTTAACATGCCATTAAGATGCCTTCTGAATGCATTCCTGCGGCAACACATTTTAAACTGTAGCCTATATAAGGTTTTTCGCCTTAGCCAACCTGAATTCATCTCCATCCATCTGTCTATCAACTCTTCAAATAGCTTCTCATTTACCTGTGAAACGGAATCCTCTCCACAGCTTAATGCTGTTTCAGTGTGAAAAGGTTTCATTGGAGGGTGATGCACACACCTTGTTGAATAAAAGATGAAACTACAGCACCATTTCCAAGTCCTCTACATAGCAACTCAGGTTGCCATCCTTCCTTTGTAACAAATGCTGTCCTTGAAATGTTTTTTAGAATTTGCAATTTTTCATAATCTTTTGAATTAATTTTTGACATGTTTTTTTTGTGAACGTTACCCTGCTTTAAGCCATTCAGAAAAATATTTCTTGCCTATTAATTAATTCTCAATTTTTAAAAGCTTCAAAGGTGCGAAGCATTTTTCAAGAAAAGTTTTTCTGTGTTATCTGATCCTTCAAATCAATCTATTGTTTCTCATACAAGCTTTTTTATATCAACCCAGGAAAACTAAGGAAAAGGAGGGAAGAAAATCAAAATATAATAAGAAGTATACAGAATAGGCAAAATGTATCATATTAACATCTAAGTAAAACACTTCCATTGAAATTTGACCTTTCTGCATTGTCAGGGTCAACTGTAGGTCATGGCATAATGCTGAGAGCCATACCTTGCATATGAATTGTGGAAACAGTTGAGGCATATGCATTTTCTGGGTCAGATATATAGCAGAGAGGCAGAATGAGAGGATTGTATCTGGGTCACACACACTGTGGAGCTTCTTTTTGATAGTGGTGACGTGGTTTTGCAGTGAATCTCTTTAGATGTGGTGCAGAGTGGCTTTGGTACAGTGCTCATATTTCCTAGATATAACTGTATGATAACTGCATGGGGCAAAAGGCTCATTCAGTTGTATGTGTCACAATGTATTTCTGGGTCAGTCGATAAAATGTTTGGATAGAAATGCCCTTCCCCGGGATAGGGAGTGAAGGGTCAGTGTAGGAAAGAGAACAGAAAAACAGAGCTGAAATTTTCAAACTACAGATTTTAGGGCTTTAATAATTTAGATACCAGATGGCCCAAGGCATGCATATTTCCTGTAACTGTATGACTAACCACTCATTACTACAGTATATGCAATCCATTGCATGCAGAAGGCACATGTCTGCACATTAATTGATGTAAAACATGAAAACAGTTGAATCCATGTGTGCTAATTTTTTAAGTATGTTTTTCAATGAAGTTTAACAATGTACTTGTTTATCTTCTTTGCTATTGTTACATCTGCAGCCTCTGTATTATTAAAATAAATAATTTCCCATTTGGATGTACATTTATCTTACTTTGTTTTAATTTTTTTTAAAACAATGTGCAGTACAATGAGAATAAGAATCAATTTATAAATAATTTGCAACATTTAAAGTTGCCATATTTTTAAGATATCTCCCTTTTTCTTTTTGTGAAAATATTAGCTAGAATTTGTATATGAGCATGCAATAATCCTCAAACTGAATATTTTTCTCCTCCATGAATACATTACTATGCAATGATTTTGTTCTTGTCAGGTGCAGAGATCTGTATCAGCACTCATGCTAATATCACCCGATCAAACATCCTTTACTGCATATTTTTTCCTTCTCTATCTCTTGCTTCCTTTTCTCCCCCTCCCCCTGTATTGGATGAGTTTACCCGCAGCACCCTCCCCCTCCCTCTTCTCCAGGGTAAAACGAATCTAGGTCAATCGCTCCTCCTGAATGAATTTTACTCTGACAAGCTCCTCCCTTTTCCACAAAAAAACACCAGCTATGGAGCACGCAAACCTCGCCTTAGTTAGGGACACCCTCACACTCTATCACGGATTGGCTGACTGAGCTCAAACCTAAGCATCTTTGGACCCTATTGGCCCTAGCTGTGTAACACTACTGTGATTGGCTGGGCTGCAGGGGGTCTTGTTTCTGTGGGCTGGTTGCCGTGGTGCCCAGGAAGATCTGTGTATGCACATGGAGATCCCCACCAATCTCAGCCTGGCTGGGTAACTCCCTAAACACCACATTGTCAATAAGTCAAAGCTTTACTTGCTTCAGATGCCATAACAAGATATAGTTCTCAAAGCATTTTGAGCCTTTATTTGTAATTTTTGTTCTTTTTTTTGCTGTTTTTTCAAATATTTGTATTTGGGATTGTTGAGGCAATAGTTCTTTAGCAAATGGGGCATGCAAAAAACATTAGACATCTTATTTTTTTCACACATTTACACATTAGGTTTTGCTTTGTTTGCCAATAATTGCAATAATTAAAAAAAGACTTTTAAGTATATTTTTAAAAAGCACTTTGGGGGGTATGATGACCACTTGGTTTAGTTAGAAGTTCAACAGACGGGAGGATTATCGCTGTCACTATATCAATGATATCTTGTAATTTCAAACTGCTCTTCATGGAATTAAATGGTCACTGCAGATGCAGTTTTTAAATTGTTTGCTTGAACCTCTTAGAATTATCACACATCAGTCATTTGACAAAATAAAGTATGCAGAGGCACATCCAGAAAGTTTAAAGAAATGCCTTCTTAGGGTGGCAAAGTTAATGAAAAGCTATAAGAAACAAAATCAAACAAATGTCAATAAAAAAAAGTAGGACATTGTAATGGTTTGTAGGCAATTGGTGTGTTGGATTATGGATTGACATAGATGTAAAAGGTGCAGATTTTCAATACCTTTGGCATTTGTAGATATGATTCTTAATATTTTACACTTCAGATAAGCACACACAATTCAAGGTTTAGCTTGTGGGTATTTCAGTTTGATAAATGGTTATTGAGCTGTTATCTTTTTTATGAAAGCTAACTGGGTTTATTTTAATAGAATACAGAACTAATGGAATTAGGATTCATTGTAATGTTTCCAATTAATAATTTACAATATTATGAAATTTGAAGGATTTTTATTATTGATCAAAATAATACTTAACTACAAAGACAAACAGATACATAGGATAGAAAAAAGGATGTTGATTTACAGGTATGTAATTGGAATAGAGGAGATAAGCTGCCAGTTGGTTGAGAATGAGGGCATGCGGGTCAATTAGGAGATGAACTAAAAACCAAAAGGTTGTTTAAAACAGTGAAAGTGGATTCTCTGATCAAACTGATTTTATGGGACATGTTAATGGCAACATTATTTCTCAGCTTCTTTTTGGTTCAGACATATAGCGCAAAGGTGGGAGACATAAACAGAGGAAACCATTTAATTTTAAATGCCAGAGATGTTACTATATTACAGTAAAAATCTAAGGAAGTACACATACTGGATATGTATATTCAAGCCACCCGACTTAAGCTGTATATAATTTGTGGTCTTAGTGTGAAGCAGTCTGTCAAGAACTAAATGTCATGTCATTGTGGGAGAAACACTGCTGAGGAGGGGAAAGCAGGGAACAGCTAAATATATCTGCAGTAGTGTGGTGTAAAGTGCCACCAACACTCACCGTCACATCTTTCTCCCTGGCAGGTGGAAATGGCACTGTGGTCCACTGCCTCAGATGACATGCTCAGCTTGGTGGCTGGGTCCCTCCTAGGCTTAGGCGGTGGCTGCTTCCTAGAGGTGGGACTCCCCACTTCCTCCTCTCCTCCTGCTCCCCCTCCACTGTTTCCCCCACCCCCAACAGAGTGGAGGGACTGGGAGCGGACGGAGAAGCCCTGCCCACAGGCGATGGTGTGCAGGTGGGGCAAGGGCATGCACTCCTGTGGGTCAGGCATGGTTATTGAGCCCATACGGAAGTATTTGCCTTCTGTTGCTATATCCTCACCAGTTCTGAAAGCAACAAGACAAGGGAAGGGAGGGTAGAAGGAAGAAAATAAAACTAGCTTTAAAAATAGATGATTAAACATATAAGTCATGATGCAAGATGAGAAGAATAAAACACATACAAAAGCAATTTTATTTACTTTACATGGGTAAACAAAGAGGTGCCAGTTCATGAGTGTTTGCTTAATTCATCCCGTGTGAGTGGCTTAAATGATGCCAAAGTACCATCAACAAATGTCAAGTCTACCAACAGCAGGGAAGTCACCAGAGCAAAGGGAAACATATTGATTTGAGTTTAACCCTTGCTATATCTAACAGAGGTCAAACAAACATAATGGAAGCACAGTCCCTGTAAAAAGTCAATGCCCATAAACGGATGATTAGCCTGAATGTGAGTTAATGATGGCCAAACGTCGAGCTCTAATTGAAATGAATGTGTGCGTAGGTGGGTGTGTTTCTCATGTTTAATCATCAACTCTGCTATTTACTTACATCCTTATTTAAGAGACACAATGAAAGCTAATATGGATGATTGCCTTCTTTTTACAGAAGAGGTAGGAAGTGGAACATGTGTATTTGAGCTATGCACATGGATGCTATTTTGCTGACAATGTTTCCTTCATGGCCAGCTGCTAAACAGAAGGTGTGTTATAGGTTGGGTTTACAAGTCAGGAGCTTACCTTTGCCTAGCAACAGGGTACACAAAACAAGCTGTTCACTCACAACAATAACAAAGTGCATGTGCACTTCCTAACATTTGCACGTGGGTGCGCATAATGAGGCCAGTTTTGTTTAGAACCTACACAGGTGGTTCAAATAATGCTGCAAGCAGCAATATGTGAAACATCAGCATTACAAGGCAGGAGAAGCATCTGATTTTTTTCTGCTTAATATACAATTATTATTATTATTATTATAAGGTATTTCTCATCAATTTTATAATTTTTTTAAAGAAACAGAAAACATCCACCTGCATGATATAACCCCCATTACACTTTTTCTGTTTCCCAAATGTTTTGGGTGTGCATCTCATTGCATTTCCAGTTTGCATGTGTTGAATGTGTATAAGTGGCTTGGTGTGACTGGAGAGCTGGTGGCTGGGTTATTTTTAGGATATTTGCCCAGTGATTGGCTAGAGGACCGACCACAGGTGCAGTTGGACCAAAATGAAGTTGACTTGTTGTCAGGCAACTCTGCTTTCTCTGTGACAATGTAAAAGTATAAAAATAACAGTCTTAAAATCAAGGAGTACATTGAGAAAAAAGGAACAGATTCCTGCAGCTGGATGCACACATTCATAAAAAGTTAAGGAGGGGAAAGAAACGTTGAAAATTTGCATGCATGTGCAAATGTAGGGAAATTGATATATCTTTGTTTTTTGTCAGCTGCTGTGTGGGAGGGACTAATGGTGATAAATGCCCTTTATCTAAATATCTGTGTGGTTATATGAGTGACTCCTGTTTTCAGGTGAAAAACAACAAAAGAGACAATGAGGGAAGAAACTGTCAGTGGGAAGTTCTGCCGTGCTCAAACCCAACAGGCTGATTCAATTGGGCTTCATTTTTCGAGCTGTCACCAGGCAGAACACATCTCCTGTAACTGAGCTCACACTTAATCTCTCTCTAATAACTTTCTCCTTTTTTGTCTTCACCACTTTGCACCATAATGCACTTGCTTTAACAAGATCTGTACCCCTAATTTAATCCTGCTGACTACTTGATTTTTTTTCTCCCACTAAGTACCCCTCTCTGCCTGCATGCACATCCATGCTTGTGCTCATCCACTTGCCAAAACGATATGTATTCTCACACTCGTATTCAGTAACTGTAAAAATAGGCCATCTCATTGACCTACTTGTAGAACTTAAAAAATCTCTAACTCTGCTACTCAAGTGGATAGGTATTAATGTTGTTGCTGTGGGAAAATCTAAAAGAAAGCAGATGTCCCTTTTCTCAAACATCCCGTGTGCCTAATTCATCAAGTTGCTACACAAGATTACATCAGACTGCTGATATAGATGGGGGAAATGTTTTGCTGAAATTAATGAGGACAGAGATATATTTCTTATGGGATTTCAAACTTTAACTGTCTCCCAAAAAGCCTGAAGCATTGACAATTATGGCTCTAAATCAGCTTTGATCACATAAAGAAATACAAGTGTTAACACTCTGTAATGAATTGTCTATAAAGAGTCATACAGAGGACAACAGAAACACTATAGAGAATGAAAACATCTTTTGAATTTGTAGGACCTCTTACTTTGCTAATGAAAAAAATGTCCTAGAATTGTATGAATGCAATGACTGGATCACAATATAAAACTCTGAACAAAGTTTAAGCACTTGCTTTTGTCATATTGGGTTGCATATTGTCATACTGAGGGTGGTTTATCTTTGGGAATGATCTGATTAACAGGAGGTAAATAATCTACTTTATACTCTCACCTTCTTTATCTGTTCTTTAAAATCAAGTTTAACCAAATATATATTTATATAAGGCAAAAATAACACAATTGGTGGATGAAGAGTAGAGTGATATTTTCAAATTTAAATCTACATATTTTGGCAGACAAACAAGAAATATGTTTTTTTTTTCCGCAGTCATGGTGCATCACGTACATTGGTAAAACCACCTGAGTAAATGTCTTCCTATACTATTGATGAAGTAGACAGGGCTCCACATGTATTGTAAGGTGAGGGGCAAGGCTCAATTGGGGTAGCTAGGTGATGGACTGTACCTGCTAATTCTGATGGTTTGGGTAAAGGCTAATTTTGCAGAAACCAACAAAAGTTTGTTAACTTTTCAAAGAACCAAACATCAAAAGCAATAAACTATATCTTTAAGGGGACATTTCATATTGGCTTAATTTAAGAATTCAATTGGTATTCCAGTTTAAACTATTTTATAACCCATGAAACGAGTATTCCTATATAAAACAGAAGAAAAAGTTCTCCTATTTCTTTCTCATTTTTATCCTCACAGTCTGAAACTTATTCTGTGGAAGTTCACCCTCCTCATTCTTGAGCAGCAGTGACCTCTAATCAAGGACGAGTCCTAAATAGGTGTAACTGAGCAATTAACTGTCGTCCGTAGATCCCAGGGTGCATCTGTTCTCACTTTGCAGCCCCAAACTAAGCACCACTATGACAGGCACCGTTTGGCCATCCTTATTCTCACTAAGCTTAGGTAAAATCTGTCACACCAGTAATACAAGGTTAGTGGTAAGAACGATGGATAAAAAGGAATGGTTGCATATTCTAAGTAATAAGTTGGTGGCTTTATGCTAATAGATTTTTTTTTTCTCCTGTTTTCGCTGCTAGGATTCGTCACCGTCTTCCTACCTCCTTATGGCTTCCTCCTGTTTTCTTTTCTTGTCTTTTTTTTCTTGCAGGAATGTCCTGTTTCTCTCATTCCTGGCGTGGTCCAAGTTCTGAGAAAGCAGCCTGTTGTAGGCTCTCAGGCCATTCTCTTCAACATACTGGAAAAAGCTGAGTGTTTCCTCCTCTTTGGAATTCATTCTTCAAGTCTTTGCACTGCATTCTGATAGGAAAGTATAACAACTTTTAGTCATAATTATTTTCCTAATTTTCCTTAAAAAAGGATCAAGAATAAAAAACAGAGTACTTTTCAAATGTAAAGCAGACATTTTATTGTTGAATTAATTGCAGTGTCCTTCAAAAGTACAATGACACCTGATCCATTGGAACCTAATGCCTCCGCAAACCAATGTTAATATTACACTCTGAAAACAGTGTCCCTGCGGAGGACAGAAGGGTGGCAGCACTCTGTTGTTATGATGCTTTTCCACCTTGTAAGCAGAGGAAGGAAAGTTGGACAGAGCTCATGAGTGCAGCTACAACAGGACATTCCTGGAAGAAAACCTATTATAAACTGCAAAAGTGTGCTAGTATTCAGCGATAGCTACAGTGGACTTTCATAAATACTGCTTTTGGTACTGATACTTGTTCACGGCACTGTATTATTTTCTTATGCTAAGAAAGCCAAGAGTATCAAAAACATTTAAAGCACAACAACAATTTAACAAACTTGGTTGTCCGCAAATCCATCCAAATATTTATAAACCTTTCTGACTTACAATGTGTGTTCTATTGCCAGTGGAAGTTTTGTGGTGCTGGTAGTGCACAACCATACTGGGAAATGTATGACTATTTTTTAGCTTCCTATTTGAGAGCCTATCACAGCAATAGCTTGTTTTCTCAGTTATATTAGCACATTTTCTGCATGAAATCACTGGCTTTAAAATAGTGAGTATGTAAATCTAAAAAGACAGCTTTCATTTCCCCATGGTTGTAACATGTGATGGGTACAGATGTGCAAATAGCCCTCCTGGGACTTATAAGATCAGCACGGACAAATCGAAGCCAACTCAATTAACAGAAGCATAGCTTTGCACAGACAAATAATGTTGTTTTTGTGTTGCTGCTGTTTTGATGAAAAAATATATATCTCTGCTGCCTTCCTTGCTGCATTGTCCATAAAAAAACAGTAATACTGTGGTAAGAAATTCTAGGTTTCACTCATAAACTTTAAGTAGTTTAGAATAAAATGATTTGCATCTACTTCAGTGCACGAGGGAGCAATATTTAGAGACCATATATTTGCTGGATGCATTTGCCTGAAAAGCCCTTAAAACCACATGCAAAACGTGCAGCAGCCTTAACTTGAATTTAGAGAGGGTAGGAGAGGATGAGTAGAAGAGTGCATGCTTTTATGTAGGTCAGTGTTTTCAGATCAGCGTAAGACTCCTGCTTGTTTACGTGTGACAGCAGTGTTGGAAGGGGGTAGGGGTGTGTACAGGCTTGTGGTAACTGCATGTATGTTGTGTGTGTGTGTGTGTGTGTGTGGGGATGCTAGGGCAGTGAGGGGGGTCTTGGTGTTGGAGGGCAGCCAGATGGAGACTGCTAGCCTAACAGGGAGGGCAACCATTGTTTGGTCATCCTCAGCATCCCTGCATCTCATCTCTACCAATGCATCAACATGCAAGGGAGGTCAAATGATTTATCTGTAAGCACTATACCCCTTAAGGAAGACTTGACAATTTTTTAAAGGTATGTGGATTTAGTGTAGAAAATATGAGAGTTCACTTTAAGGTAACAAAAAATGGAGTAAAATTATCCTGTTCTTTTAAAAGTATCTTGATAAAAGAAATTCAGTTACTAAAGCAAATGCAGACAAAGCTGCAGCTCAAACACAGGGAAATAGCACAAGGTTTTAGGAATTAAATTAGGTACACGAGCATAGGTGCTCAGATGAGAAAGCACTGTTCAAATAGTGTTTGAGCTAAATTAAGCCTCCCGGCCCGATCCTGTAGCCCTGCATCAGAAATATTGGAATCAGCTTGTCAAAGTGTTTTACTGGCCTTTTTCAAGGTTTTGTTCTCCAATAACTTGCTTATGTAAAAATACAATATTAATCTCTTATTTAAAATAGTAACTAACCGGTAATTCTTTTTAATTCTCAGTTGCTCTCTCCTCGTTTTGCTTTTTTTTTTTTTTTGCGTTCACCCCCACCCCTCCTCCAGCTGTTTGCTCGAAAATGACAAAGGCTGCAACAGTTGAAACAGATGTGCACTTTGCTTTAAAACTAACTGATGGTGGCACATCATTTCTGTTTCCTGGCAACCATGTCACTGGAGAGGGCCAGCATGAAGATTTTAAAGACAAAATGTCAAAAAGAATTTCAAGGCCAATCGTCTGGTGGCCACATGCATGGATGCTTGCGCACATCTACACATATGAAGACAACATCAATACATCACAGTTAACCTCAGCTAACCTGTAGTTGTTCGACTTTCAAAAAAGTCCAATACAGAGGAAACTTCACAAAAAGCTATTTATGAATAGATGTATCAAATAGGTAAGTTGGACATGATTCTAACTATTCCCTTACAAGACTTTTTGTCTTAAAACAAATATGATGATGTATACTTACAAAAGTTCTTTGTCCTTACTGTTGTGTAGATTAAAGTCTCTTCTGTCTTTTCCTGTGTCCAGAGTGCAATAAGAAACTCTGACCTATGCTGGAGAAACCATGCATTCTTGCACTTAAATCCACATAGGCCTCCATCCATTTTATTTTCCAATAGATTGTGCCCCACTAGAAAAAGTCCCAGTGACCCAAGATGAAAATGGGACTAGAAGGGAGCATTGGATGCTTTCCCCAATGCTCCCTTCTACTAGGTGAAAAATTGGACTCCTCCAATTTGATTGCTGCCAAACTCCGAGCCAACTGTAATCTTCAATTCTGTGCACATTTGCACATCCTGAAGAAAAATGACACAGGTGCCACTGCACACTTGACAAAAATGCATATCACATCCTTTCACATCAAAGTCTTCTCTCAGCCACAGAGGAAAGATGGCTTTTAAAATGTTTCAAAATCTTCTTTCCTTGATTTTTCCTTTGTTTGTTTTATTGGATCAAAGTGCCACAAGAATAATAAAAAAAGGGTTTCACATCCGCACTGTCTTCTTGGTTAAGATAGACCAAGAGTTCGGCATTCCCTGTCGGTTTTCTCTGTCCTGTTCAGCACATTTGCTTGGTGCTTAAGCGGATGACACTGGGCTTCCCAACTATACATCAAAACAAGTAGAACACACCCACTCCCTACTGTAGCCACCTCACTCGGATACGTCAGACTCTCTCTCTTGCTCTCTGTCCAACCCCTTCATTCATTGCCTTTTCTCTTGCAAAGCTCCTTTGAACTAGTATTCCAAAAACACTAGAATAAGAACCTCTCTCTGCAGCCATTCATGTTTTGTTTTTGTTTCATGTGTCTCGCTCGTCTTTCTCTCTGCAGCTTAGAGGAAGATTGAGCTTGAATATGTTGTTCTGCTGTCAGCACCACGGAGAGTTCTCCGGGGGTGAAAAAAAGGCGGAGAGTTGACTGGGTGGGCACAGAGGGACAATTGCAAAGATGGTAGAAGAGGAGGGGTAGTGGGAGGAGTCAAAGGGTTACCAGGGTGTGACCTCATCAGACACAACCTCCTCTTCCCTAGCAACCACTGCGATTCCCTTCCCATATACCTCCTCCTCCCTCTTCCCTCTTGCAGTGCGTAAACAAGACCGTGACATGAAAACACCAGCAGAAATGCATCGTGTTGCTCCAAAGTGTCTTCTTTACATTTGTTGTGGCAAAAACAGCAAAATAGGGGAGATACATGCTATATGCCTGAATTAACTAAATGATAAAAAATGAAAAGTGAGTGCACCAATATACAAAAACTAATCCAATTCAAATGTGTACTCAGAGGCCACGTTAGTACTGAATAAAATCAAGGACAGAGGCAAAGCTGAGACTTTTTTGTCAGTGGAGTTCTGCTATAGCGCTGTCTGGAGGTTGAGGAGGAACAGGTTCAGTACAGCTTTTGGTTGTTTATATGCTGGGGTTGAGTGGTAAATGGTGCAAGAGCAGGACCTGTGGTGTTTGGTGTGGGGGGTGGGGGAGGGATAATCAGGAAGAATGGGTGATTAGACGGGACTGGGTTTGCCTGAACAGATTAACACCATCGACACAAAAGGATTAAGAAGCAGAGATCTGTTGTTTTTATCAACCTTCCTTCCATTTCTCTTAACCTACACTTACTGGGGTCAGTTCTGGCAATGAAAACAGTTGATCTTGCAAATGGGTTGACGTTTGCAAGAGGATTTAAAAGAGCATCAACTGCAGTTCAAGGCAGTATGATCAACAACTAGTCTTTGTTTGGGAATCAGTACCTTGAGGGATAAAACAGGTTGGATTTCCATCTTCTATCTCTGCATCCAATTACAATCACATAACAGCAAGACAGATGTTAAAAACAGGCAACCTAAGTTATTGAAATAGAAAAATGCTACTTTTAATGGTTTAAGCTTGTATTGCCTATTGTAATGGAAATGACTGACTACTTTTGCAAAAAGGAAATCAGTCCAATAATTTGGCTTATCACACACACACACACACACACACACACACACACACACACACACACACACACACACACACACACACACACACACATAAAAACACATAAACATGTGGATTTATGCAAAAAGCTGGTGCAACCTCCTTGTGCCCATTCTCAAAGGGAACATTTAGATCCCATAGGGGTTCAACACAATCCCAGACAACAAAAGAAAACCACAAGGGTGAAAAAGGTTAAATAAATATTTTCACCTCCATGCATCAAAAGTAGTTTGTTTTTTGAACAGTGGAGTACACTCCCTCTGGGACAGAAACAAGGGCAGAAACAGAATGCAATTGCAGGGACTTTGCAGTTCACATACTGTAGACTTGGAGGAATACATTTGCATATTATGATAGAGACATCAAAACACAAATTTGCCTGCATTCAAATGCACTTGCAGACAGATTCAAATCAGAGCGCTTTAGATTAAAGTTTCCCTTTGTCTTCATCTACCACTATTAATGACTGCATATCATATTACTCAATGTCCCCTTCTAAAGCTAGATCTGTAAAATGTAAATGCATTTTAATCTAGAAGAATTGTCTCCTTCCAAAAGATCCTTCATCTAATTTAAGAACGTTAATTGAGCTAATAAACTTATCAATTTAAAAAAAATGTGTTTAACACTACTACAGTTGGTATTCCAAATGAATGTTTACAAATACATGTTATTAAAATGTTTGAAATACAACTTTACTTTTTAGGTTGGTTGGAATTCTTAGTAATTCTGGATTTAATACAGAGGCCCCTTTATATTAACCATTATCACTAGGTTTGACTGTGGTCCCATGTTTACCTGCCACCAGATGCAATAAGGAGGAGAGTAACCAAAGTAAAAAAAATCTCCAGAGCGCACTGTACCACAGCAAAGCGTAGCATTATGATCGTCTTGACCACTACTGTATGCTAATCACATGTATTTGAACTATAAATCCCACTGTGTGTCATGGTGAAATCAAAGAAAAAACTAGGCTTTTGCAACAAACAGAATGAGTTTATTGTAAAATAAAGCCATGTATGGAGAAAAACACCCATCCCTACATGTTCTCTTAAGGAGGGAAATTATCTTGTCTGTCTTAATTTCCAAAATGCCATAGAAATCTTTTTTTAATACATGGTTCATGAATACTTACCAAGAGATTTTAGATAGGAATTGCTTTTTAGTAATATACAGTTAAATTAAAAATTGTTTGTCATTGGATCCCTTCTTAGTAGCTCCTAGGGTTGGATCACATGAAAACTAGTGTGAGTGACTGCAGAAAAGAGTGCATAAGAAAAGAATTGAAGACAATAGATACATTTTATGAATTGGACATTTTAAAGAACTATTCTTTTTATGTTCTAACCTTGCAAAATGTGAATGGATAATATTACTTGGTTTCAAAATAAATCTAAAAGAAAATGGTCACATAGTCTGTGGAGATATAAACAAAAATGTTCTTGCATATTATCCTAGAATATGTGGGTTTATTACACCTTGATATTAACTTGGTATTGGCTGTCTGTTGCGTGTCGGAACTGATGTTTTCCACAATAATTTAATTGGGACAGGTCCTCTGTTTGGATATACAGAGAGATGAAATGTTGAAAGTAAATACATAGGCAATGGTGGCAACCATAAAAAAAAAAAAAAATCAAGTGGGCGCTAACAAGGTACGTTTATTTGTGCAAAACATTTCAGAATCACAACCAAACATGCTTTACATATTGAAAACTGCAGTAAATACACATGGAAACATTACAATTCACAGATACTGAAATATATGTTTTAACTTGTAGTTTATACAAACCAATCAAAGTTAACTATAGAAATTGTATTCTAACTTTGGGGGTGGCTGTTTGAATTTCATCTCATTGGGATGTAATTAGGAGGATGAACCTTCTATGTTCCTTAAATACATCAGCGAATCATCCAACTGACTTAAGAGTCCAGTTGCCTTCCAATCTAAACCTGTTTGCTGTTTGCCATGACCAGGTAGCATATATCCAGGTATATTTGAACTTTAATGAGGATAATAAATCTGACTCGCAGAGGTTTTGCAGTTCGTTGGAAGTCTGTTGCAGATTGTCTTAGAATTTGAGTGCTGCTTCTTTATGTTTGGTTTGGATTCTTTGCTTCATAAATATAGTTGAACCACAAGGTCTGGATGGTCTTGAAGCTTTATCAGGACAGCAAATATTTAATGTCTGCTGAAAAAGGTCTCCCACTGCATGATACTCCCACAGCCATGTTCCAGTGGCTTATGCTCTTGGGGTGATTTGATATAGCGTTTTACTTATGGTTGAAAAGTTCTGCTTTAGTTTCATTGATTCATTCATTTTGAGGTCTTTCAGTAAAAATGTGTCTACGATGTAAAAATCTGTGACATTTTCATTCCATTCATTTGTAATTCAATTCACTAATTATTTGACTTTTAAAGATAATTAAACAATTATATATATATACTTATAAACAGACTTAATGTTGTATGCAATTGTGATGACTCAGGTGAGTTCAGGTGTTCTAGTTGCTTCCATGGCCTCAGCTATAGAGAAAGCATCCAGACTCCTACAATCTGTGAACAAATGGGTCACCCCCCTAGGCTCAGTGGAATCCAGGGCTACCGAATGTCAGACCATGTGAAGTCACAGAATCACCAGCTTTCTGCAGCATCAAATGGTTTAAGGCTTCATTACTTTATGTAGTCTTTAGATTAGCTTGAGAACAGGTAAAAGGAGCATTTGGAACTGATCTATATTATATGCTTTTCTTATATACTGAAATTAGTGTGTCAGTTATGTTTTAATGCATTGATTATGATTGTATTATGGGCCATGAAGAAAACAGATTAATATTTGCTGCCACCTAGTGGAGAAATAGTCAAATTTAGTTAGTGACGTTGAAGTGTTTCATTTCTAAAGTTCTTGCATTCAGAGAAATAACTGATCTATTGTTTTAACGACTTTAATTAGTAAAATAAAAATGTGAAAATTACCAATATTCAGTGTCTCAACTTGTACCTAATTTTTCCATTTTGGAGTTTAATATATGAGCTAAATATTGTCTTCTGTTGAGCCATCTGCTTTTAAAAAACGAGAGCAGCTTTTCTCTTTTTTTAAGGTTACAGTTTACTCTCTGATGAAAGGTCCCCAAGTTTTATTGTTCTGGAACTTATATATATATAAAAACTCTGGCTTGTTCGAATGACTCGCTGAGGCGACTCCGAGTTAATGGAACAGCCAATAAGACTGATTCACTAAGAAACATACTTTCTGGAAGGTTTTTGCTTAATTGTGCCTAAATCTTTAAAATAAGTTGTTCTTTGATTCCACCCTTTTCAGTCTTGTCATGGTGGATAATGAATAAGTCCACTGGTTCTAGTTCGGTAAATGTCATACTGGAACAGAAGATAAATTTTTCCCCCATCCAGTACAGACTACTTCCTCTCAAGGTTTATTAAAGATTTAACTGCTTTCTTCCACTGTCTTTAACTTTTTTTTTATTAACAGTATGTCAAAAACCTTTGCAGTTTTTTTGTTTCCTCTAAGTAGTTATTGAAATCCTGTGTGACCAGAACATGCAGCAACATTGACAATGATTGTATCTGTTATCCCTTGCAAGGATTAATAAATACTAGCTTGAATGAAGAAACACAAAATCTCAATTTCTTGTTAAAAGGACATACATTTTTTTTTCCATCAATAGTATCAAAGAAGAGCTCAGCTGATACTTAAAAGCAGAGAGCCAGTGAAAAAGGATTACAACTATTTCAGCTATTAATACTTAAACTTATTTATGAGAGCTTAAATTATGCCAAGGATGGAGATCTTCTCAAATTTTTTACATTCATCTCAGGGTTGGTTATTTGTGCAAAAATATCATCATTTTT